CTAGTATCACTAGTCACTAGTATCGGGATAAATTAGCTAGTATCACTAGTCACTAGTATCGGGATAAATTAACTAGTATCACTAGTAACTAATATTGGGATAAGTAAACTAGTATCACTAGTCATTAGTATCGGGACAAGTAAACTGGTATCACTAGTCACTAGTTTAGGGATAAGTAAACTAGTATCACTAGTCACTAGTATCGGGATAAGTGACAGACCCCTAAAGCATTTTAGCTTGCTGAAAAGCTTTATATGTGAAGAGTGTGTCCTATATTTTCATTTTGGAAATAGTACAAATTGACATTTTTGAGTCCCCCTGGTGTTTCAAACAGACAACAGGTCCTGTTACTTCCAGGTTCAGTTTGCTTATTTGCACTGAACTCAAGGGGCAGCAATAGCCCAGAGCAGTGGTGTATGTCGAAACTCAGGCAACCCCCAATATAAATTTGCCTGACTCCTGTCTGTTTGGGACCAAAACACACTTTGACTGACAGACACAAACTGACACAACCACTCAGTGACATGCACACCCTCTCACATATACAAACACTGACATACATACACACGCACTGATTTGACACACTGGCAAACATACAATCACTCAGACACACACTAACAGACACATGCACTCGCTGACAGACACACGCACATACTAACAGACACTCCCAGACATACACTTATAGAAACACGCACACTAACAGACAAACTCACTCATATATACTCACACACATTCACTGACAGACACACATACTCCTCCACTGACAGACACACATACTCATAGACATGCACTGACAGACACACATACTCACAGACATACACTGACAGACACGTGCATTCACTGACAGACAAATACACATACACTGACAGATAAACGCATTCACTGACAGACACACACCAGCAGGCAAACACACTCACAGACATATACTGACAGACACACACACATTCACTGACAGACACACACTGATACACACCCTGATACTGACACACTCACAAATTGTTATTTTTTTAAATTAAAATCCACCCAGCCTACCTACCTTTGGGAGAGCTGAAATGGATTCTTTACCGGAGATCCAGAGGGGCTGATGTGCCTGGGATCCAGTGTAGGTGCTGGGCTGGATGGCGGCTGTGCTACTCAGTGGGTGGGCAGGCAGGCATCCGGTCAATGTGGGCGACGAGGGAGCTGTGATCTTCCTGCTCAGCTCCCTTGCGCCGCTTTGTGATGCCGGGAGCTGGAGTGATGTCATATCCCGGCTCCAGCATCATCCACAATATTAGTAGCCGTCTGCTTTGGAGTTGGGGGGGGGCCAAGCGGGCTTGCAGGCCAGCTCTTGGGCTCCCCATGAACAAGGCTGACGGCTTCTGCCTGGGCGGGCAGCGTTTTTTGCTACCCCACTGAAAGTGCTGCCCAAGGCAGATGCCCATGAAAAAGGCTGACAATAGCACCTGTCAGCCTCTTTCAGATGCTCTTGGCCCTGATATTTATTTATTTTGTATTTGGGCAGTGGAGTGTCTCTTTAAAGATAAATATGAGACATTAAAAAAGGTGATTCCACTTTCAATTTGTTCCGCTTGCTCATAAACAAAATTGCAGTCTGATTGTGTTACATAAAATTATTAACATTTTAAAAAATTCAAGACAAAGATGTCATGCTATTTCAAGCCAAGGGCGGCCTAATGTGGCTGTTTAAAATTGGAGAATTACCAAGTTTTATCGAGTACGATTACATCAGATGTAATTATCATATGGATTACTCACTGAAGGCTGATCACAGTCTTTAAAAAGTATAGTTTTTGGCCAGCTATTGAGCAGAATAGATGAGAGACCATTTAAATGAGGCCCCTTTTTTCTCAGGGTTACTGGGAGCCTATGGAGAGTGCCTTGTGTATAATGGGATAACGAGAAAGTATCTCTGCTAAGGTTCTCAGGGATGCTATATTTAGCAAAGGCTGTACGAACAAGCTGTTCTGTTAATCCCAAAATCAGTTTCCAGGACACCTGGGCTTTGAGATTACTTTTCAAAACCATCATTCAAGAGAAAAGAAGAGACTTAGAAATATGCATGGACTTTTCAATACTTCAGTATCAACCAGCTCTTACTTCCAAAAAGCTGGGGGTTTATTCTTTAACAGCGAATGAATTGTGGGATGCCTCTGCAATGTTTGGGCAGTGATGTATATTGGATATGTGCTGCCCTAGGTATGACAAAACTCGGACACCCCTCCCCCACCCCATGTAAATGTACCCCGCTCCTACCTGTTTGAGGTGAACACGCAGTTTGACTGACAGACACAAAGTAACACATTCTCAGATACACATATAGTGATATACATTCACTGACTGACACACTTACAGACACACACATTCACTGACAGATGCACTCACTGACAGACATACACTGACAGACACACACATTCACTCACAGACACCCTGATACTGACATATTCACACACATTGTCTTACACAAAGTATATATAATTTTTAAAATTTTAATTTTAATTCACCCAGCCTGTGGGAGAGCTGGAGTGAATTCTTCCCTTGGGCCCAGGGGGCTGGCTGGGCTTGCTGGTGGTGGGCTGGCTAGGTTGCAGCTGCTAGGCTGGCTGGGCGGCAGGGCATGCGGGCAGGCAGGCGCACAGTTGTGGCAGCAAGGAAGTTGTAATTTGAAAGCCTCTGGGAGGCCCTGAGGTGGCCAGCCGGCCAGCTCTTAGGCCCCCCATGAAAGAGGCTAACAGGGCATCTGCCAGAGTGCTTGGGGGTCAGCCTTTTTTTCTGCCCTCCTAAAAGTGCTGCCCAAGGCAAATGTCTTGTTAGCCTTGTGGGTAATACACCATTGTGTTTGTGGCGTTATACCAGACACTCACAGGCACCATATCTGTAGTCTTTACCTCAGTTCCTTTTGGATCCAAGATAAAATCAAAGTACAAAGGAAAAAATAATATTAAGAAAAAAGATGTAATCTATTTATGAAATACCTCTTGACCAGATCAGCGCTATGAAAAATTCTTGACACATGTAATAGTTCTGTGAACTCTGGCAATAAAGTAATGTTGCTAAATGAAGGCCATTAGTCTGCGCTAAGTGCATTTTTAAAATGTTTCCAATAGTTTCAGGTTGGCAGCTATTAAATGCTTTTTAAAATTAGCTTAAAGAAGAAATAAGTGTGGCAATGTTAGTGTTATTTGAGGCAGGAGGTCACTAAGCAGAGGGACACGTAGCCTACCCGGTGAATGTTCAGTCCACTTCCTACCTCTCTGTCATTGGTTATGGGGGTTGTGGGATTTTAACTGATTGCGTAAAAAGGAGCGGCCAGTTACCCCTTGAAGAGACTATTGGAAATCATCTTGTTTTGTTACTTCCTTCAATTTCTTTTTCAGCAGCCGATGTCAGTTCAGTCCTGGCACAACAACGGCACACAATGGTTTGAAACTGGAGAAAAAAGACCTTATCGATAGAATGCACCTGCTGGTTCCCATGGTTATTTCCATATGTTTAGTATTTTAGACCACTTTTTTAGAACAGAACAATTTGATAAATCTCCCCCTTAAAACTTTTTAACTGCAATGCTTAGACTAAAATAGCTGATCACTTCAGTTACAGCATGGCTATTTTAGCCTTAGTTTAGCAATTTGGTTTTCACTTGATTAAAGTTACCCCCCACTGACTAAAAAAAAAAAAAAAAAAAAGAGAGAAATAAAAAGCACTATTTAGTAGATATACCCCTAGATAAAACATTTAATTATGGATTTTTTTAATTTGGGTATATCTAAAAAACCCTTGCAAAAGCTGCAAATCTCTTGTCTGCAGCCTTTGTCCCCCTTCCTCTCTAACCCCGCCCAGGCTTTCTGTGGCTGTCCAATCACAGACTTCCCAATGCAGCTCAATGAGAAGTATTTTCAAGGCAGGTGCTCTGGACTATTGCTGCTTCTTGAGATTAGCTTCACTGAGCTAAACAAACCAGGAAGTAACAGGACCGACTGTGTGATTGACAGGTAGGGGATGTACCACATTTCTATTAAAATCTGCACATTTTGCAAAATGAAAACAGATCACACATTCTTCCCTCATAAAACACTTTAGCAAGTTGAAGTCCTTTAGAGGTCTGTATTTTCCCTTAGAATTCAGTGTTTAATGAGTAAACCCCATGGATGCTTAGAAAACATTACAAAACTGTAATATTGTAATATAACAACTGCTAATAAGGAATCACAAATTACATGCGGCAGCACAGAGATCTCTTATTGAAGGATGGTTAGTAAAATGACCACATTCATACATATTGTCCTCCCTACAATTTCAGGTAATCAAAAGGCTGACGTCAGGACTCCACCATCCTCCAGGCTCCCTCCAAAAAACTCAGGGACCTTGGGTTACTTATAGTAGTCCAGTATGATTTAGGCTGATCAGGACTTTATTATGTTTATGTAATATCCTATAGACTGTAAGATCGTTTGAGCAGGGTCCTCTTCAACCTATCATTCCTGTAAGTTGTCTTGTAATTGTCCTATTTATAGTTAAATCTCCCCCCCCCTAATAATATTGTAATGCGCTACATAATCTGTTGGCGCTATATAAATGGCAATAATAATAATAATAATATGCATTTTTTTTCTATCGTTCCTTTTTTCTCATTTGTTTTGTCTGGGTTTGTTACAGCTTATTCACTAAACAGTGAATTGTAGTCAATTAAAAACCAAATCACAAAATTTAGTCAAAAACAGATGATTTGGTAAAGCCTCCAACTCCGGTATAGTCAGAGCTTGGCTATTGTAGTTTAACTTTGACAATTTGGATTTCCGTTCACTGGTGCCTGATATTTAGTATACTTTAAACTGCCATTCAATGTTAAATAAATAAAGCCCAATATCTCCTCCTGTAAAAGGTGACGTGATTCTTTGTCCTTGTTATGTGATGGCTGACGCGCCACTCTGATTAAAGATTCTTTTAATCCCCTTAGAGTGGAAGAACAGAATACGTCATACAGATTTAGTGTAATTAAGATGTCAGTGCGGGTGCGGAGGATGTATTCTGTCAAACTGTGCAAGAAAAGGTGACAATTATTGCTACTGCAATTACAATTATTTATATAGCACCAACATATTCCACAGTGTTGTACAACAGGTAGACAAGGCAAACATTTCATTATAACAAAACATTTATGACATATATGGAACAATAGGTAAAGACACCAGGTCCAAACACAATCTAAAGGTAGAATATAATATTATTTTTTATAAGGTAATTGATACTCTTGGACACTATAGTCACCAAAACAACTTTAGCTTAATGAAGCAGTTTGGGTGTATAGATCATGACCCTGCAGTCTCACTGCTCAATTCAATGCCATTTAGGAGTTAAATCACTTTTGTTTCTGTTTATGCAGCCCTAGCCACGCCTCTCCTGACTGTGACTGACACAGCCTGCATGAAACAAATTATTCTTTTTCAATCAGATGTTTTTTTGCTTTAGAAGTTTTTAACTCCAGCTCTGTAAATTGAACTTTAATCACACACAGGAGGCTCCTGTATGATCTAGTAGGTTATTAACAAAGCAGGAGATAATACATTCTACATTAAACAGACTGTGCAATAATGTAACATAGAATATCTAGGCTCCTTCACAGGAAGTGCTTTGGAAGGCTGTGCAAGTCACATGGAGAGAGGTGTGGCTTGGGCTGTATAAACAAAGTGATTCAACTTTTAAATGGAAGAGAATTGACCAGTGAGACTGCAGGGGTATGATTTATACACCAAAACTGCTTCATTAAGCTAAAGCTGTTTTGGTGCCTATGGTGTCCCTTTAAGGGTAATGTGATGGGAGTGGATTGCTCAAATGTGAGTAATTGGGGCTAATTAACACACATTGCTTATTCTAAATTTACAGGGAAAGGCTAGGTTATCAGTTTAGCATTTTTAGTCTAAACCTTGAAATTAACTAATTTCCAAATATTTCACTCTCTAGTGAATAACTCTGTCACTGTTTATTGTAATTCACTAATTCACTAATGTGTGAGATATCCGAAATGAAAAATGAATTTAAAACTTGAAACCAAAATACTATAGTTGAAAGATATATCAGCTAGAATATCCTGTTTGTCCATTTTGGCTTAAAATGTTAAATTCACTTTAATTGTTAATTACCAGGGCCGTCTTTAACGTGGGGCAAATGTGGCAGCTTCCCCAGGCCCAGTTACTCTGAGGGGGGTGGGGGGGTCCTGCTGCCCTCAAGTATTTATTTTGTCCCCCATGGGCACCCCAGTGCAGCTGATGGCCCGCACACTAAGAAGGCCCACCAGGTGGTATTTGTAAACAGGAGCCCGGTCGTGTGCTTTGTCCCTTTAATAGCACAACCAGGCCTCTTGCTTTTCAGCAGCCTGGGAGGAAGTTACTGTCGCACGTCACTTTCTCCTAGCGAAAACACAGAGCCGCACAGGAGAGACCAAGGAGGCAGTGAGGAGGGGGGGCTTGGCTGGGAGAGCCAGTCCCTAACTCCCAACAGCCTCAGCCACCACTCTGGACACCAGGGAAGGCACCCTTCAAGATTGGAAACGGGAGGTAGATTTAAAAGTGTAAATTGTCCATGTGTGTGAAAGTGTGTCAGTATGTCTGTCTAGTGTGTGTGTGTCAATATGTCTGTCAGTGTATGTGTCTTTGTGTGTCAGTATGTTTGTCAGTGTCTGTGTATGTGTAAGTATAGCTATCATTGTATGTCTGTGTGTGTGTCAGTATGTCTGTCAGTGGATGTGTCTGTGTGTGTCAGTATGCCTGTCAGTGTGTGTGTGTGTATGTATCATTATGTCTGTTAGTGTGTGTGTGTGTGTGTGCCAGCATGTCTGTCAGTGTGTGTGTGTGTCAGTATGTCTGTCAGTAGGTGTCCACCTGTCTGTCAGTGTGTGTGTGTCTGTCATTATGTCTGTCAGTGTCTGTGTACGTGTGTGTCAGTATGTCTGTCAGTATATGTGTGTGTGTCAGCCTGTCTGTCAGGGTATGTGTCTCAGTGTTTGTCCTTATGTCTGTCAGTGTGTGTCAGTATGTCTGTGTGTGTCAGTATATCTGTCAGTGAATATATGTGTGTCAGTATGTTTGTCTGTGTGTGTATGTGTCAGTGTATATGTCTGTGTAAGTATGTCTTGCTTAATCAAATTTAAGGTGAGAGAAGCTGAACTGAGAACACAACTGGCTACTTTGATCTGAAATGTGAAATTTACTTTGAATTATCACTGTAGTGAATAACCCTGTTTGAATTCTTTTTACATTTCTGCCAATTCACACGTTAGTGAGTAATTCTTCCAATTTTCTGTTAAGGACTCATGTCCATTGCTTGCTTATATTCAGTTAATGGATGATTTAGGAATCTGTCATATTTTAAATCCACCCAAAGCTGTAACCACTGTTCCATACACCCACAGGTCATCTTAAATGGCATATTGAAACAATACTATGTAGATTTTTGCAGAGGATTCTAGCGGTCTACTGAACGTTAATATTAAAACCATTTACAAGTGATACATTTTTCCATGACAGAGGTTTGAGTCTTCGGGCACAAAGCCCGGGTGCTTTAGAACATGTACACAAACCTTTTTTGAAAACTGCCCCAGATGTTACTGAGGTCTCAGTGCTGAATTCCTGTGAATGATGTGTTAATTGTAGCACCAACCGGAGGAATTCCTTTTAAAGGAGAGTCTGTAATCTTGACTGCACTAAGCTTGCTTAATGATACATGTTATAATATAGCGGTTTTCAAAAGAATTAACAGTTAAGTACACTAGGGTTAGAATAAAAACATATCCATGAAATCACAGATTGTCTGTCTGTACTTTTAATTGTTGTAAAATGACATATGTCTTGGGTGGATTTAAAAATCCGTGCTCGCGCGTACAGGAGAGACACAGCTCTTGCAATTACTGATTTGGGCACCATTGGTATTTATTAGAGCAGGGGTAGGCAACCTTTAGACTACATTTCCCGTGATGTTTTGCCACCATTATTGCTAGAAGGGCATCATGGAAAAAGTAGTCCAAAGGTTCTGGAGTGCTGCAGGTTGCCTAACACCCAGTGGTGTATCCTGGTTTTGTGCTGCCCTAGGCAGGACAAAACTCAGGTACCCCCTCCCCCCGCACCACCCCCACCCAACCCTTCCCCCCCACCCCACCTTCTAAATACACACACACACACACAAACAGTCAGACACACACACACAGACATACACAGTCAGACACACACACAAAGTCAGACACACACACACAGTCAGACACAAACACACACACACACACTGTCAGACACACACACACAGTCAGACACACACACAGTCAGACACACACACACAGTCAGACACAAACACACACACATACAGTCAGACACACACACAGTCAGACACACACACACACACAGTCAGACACACACACAGTCAGACACACACACACACACACACACACACAGTCAGACACACAAACACAGTCACACACACACACACACACACACAGCCAGACACACACACACAGTCAGACCCAGGTGTTAAAATGAAAACCTTTTTTTATTATTAAAAAAAAAAAAAGAGAGAGAGAGACATTCTAAAAGTTTGCAAAACTCCAAGGAGTTGCAGTTCTCCAACATATGCGGATCTACCTATTGGTCAGTCTCTGAGCTAAATTATAAGACCATTTTCTACGACATGTTTGCAGCTATATAGTTCCTATTCAGGAGCACCTTGGAATTTTTGATTTGTCAACATTAACTTGACACTTTTGATCCTAAACAAATTTAAAAGAAGAGATCCTTCTTTTTTTTTTTTTTTTTAAATTCTTTATTTTTACTCAATAGAATCAGCAAGTGTACATCAACTTTCAGGCTTACGCAGAAACCAACATGTTCAGCATTTTGGGAACATTGCGAAGTTTGCCAAGGAAAAAAACAACCAAAAAAAACATACCAATATGTGCTCCGTCATTTACAGAATCCACTGGCACCTGCTGTCTATCGAGGTGTTTTTAAATTTTTATTACCCCCTTCTATGATATACATCATTGATCAGGCAATTCAACAATTATGCAGTCACTTTCGGGCTAATTTAAAGGCCTATTAAGTTACAAATTAATATAAGGGAACGGTAGTCGTTGTAATTATCGCTTGCCTATATTGTAACTTAGTTTTGGCTCTCTCCGTTTGTCGGGGAATCTTATGGTAGATAAAGGTACAAGCTAATCAGCAAAAGTTAAGTAGCCATCATATATGCTGATCAACCTCCTAAGTGTGTTACCTTGTTCCTCCAACCGTTTGATCTAGCCTGAAAATCAAATCACATGAAACGAAGAAAGAAGAGAGAAAAAGGGAGAAAAAGAGGAAGTAAAAAAGGCTTAGAGAAAAAGTGAGAAGTGCATAGTCAAGGCTGAAAAGGAAAAAAAGGGGACTGGGGGGGAAACGGCGGGCCTACCATCTCTCCGCTGGCAGCGGCACCCTATCCTGCGGTATATCGTTGTGGACAGCACCCGCTGGGGTATGCCTTCAATCTCCACTTGATCCAAATATGCTATTGTCCCATGGTTCCCAGAGTTTTTGGAATGTTAAGACGGTCCCTCTCACCCTTGCTGTCAAATAATCCATAATTCTACATTCTTTAATTCTGGAGATAACCCCTGCGAAATCCGGGCCCTCTGAAGTGAGCCATGCTGTCGCTATCGCTCGACGCGCGCACAAAGTAATCTTGTGTATTAATTTCTGTTCCCGAGCGGTCCATCCGTCCACAGATCTATTTAATAAGTAGGTCCAGGGGTCTAACCTCAGAGGCTTATCAAATATCTGCTTCAACAAATCCTCCACAGACTTCCAGAATCCGCGTATCTTTGAGCATTGCCACCACATGTGTAAATATGTCCCTTGGTCTCCGCAACCCCTCCAGCAATCGTCCGTGTCTAGTTTGTGCATCCTATGTAATTGAATTGGGGTGGTATACCATCGGAACGTAGTTTTCCACGCCTGCTCCTGTAGGGTGACGCACATTGAAACCTTAGAATTTGCCTCCCAAATCTCTTGCCACTCCAGCCCCTCCAAGGTCTCACCGAGGTCATTCTCCCATTGGACAGTCTTCCCCATTCTCCATTTTCTTCACTGAGGTGTGCGTACAATAATGTGATCAGCCCCTTGGGGGTTACCCCGTCCGAACATATTCTCTCGTAGAAGGTGTGCGTCTCCATTGCAGCCTTTTTAATGGTTGGTTTTTAAGCGAAGTCTCGTATTTGGATGTACCGAAAAAAATCCGCTGGAGTCAGGTGATTACCCAATTGAAGGTCCGCAAACTGAACGACCTCTCCATTATGAAACAGCTGATGCAACCGTTGCAATCCAGCACGTTCGATGTTGCGAAAATCCCTGGGGGTCATACCAGGGGGGAATTCTCTGTTCCTAAGAAGTGGGGTCATGGGAGAAGGGGATGATGCCAGCCTATATTTGGTGTTACACATGTCCCATATGCGTATCGAATTGAGAATCGCTGGGCATGTTATCCGTATCTCCGGTCTGTATTCCCTGGGGACCCACATTGTAAATTGGGGGACGTCCACCCCCACCATCATAGATTCTATATCCACCCACCGCCTCTCCTCAGGAGCGGAGTGCCACATGGCTATCTGCGTTAGTTGTGCCGCAAGGTAATAAAAGAAGAGGTTCGGGAGGCCCAGGCCCCCTCTATCTTTGCGTCTATACAGTACCTGTTTGGAAATTCTATGTCTCTTGTTCTGCCATATAAAATTCCCTATTGACCTTTGCAAGGGAAGCAATTGTGTCTTCGTGACTCGGATGGGTAGCGCCTGAAAAAGGAACAGTAAGCGCGGGAGGATGTTCATTTTTACGGTATGTATCCTACCGATCCAGGAAATGGGTTTATCCGCCCATTTGTCTAGGTCCTCCGTCAGCACTCTAAGCATAGGGGCATAGTTAGTTGCATATAAACGTTCTGGGTCAGCCGTTATGTTGATCCCTAGGTACCTTAGGGAGTCTGTTTCCATACGGATTTGGTATACCTCCCGCAACCTAGCTGTTTCATCTTGTGACAGGCATATCGGGAGCGCACTGGACTTTTGGATGTTTGCTTTATAACCGGATAGTCCACCGTATTCTAGAATGACTCCCTTAAGTGCGGTCATTGATTCTAGCGGGGTCGTGATGGTTAAGAGAACGTCGTCCGCATAGGCTGATACCTTGAAGTCTTTATCCCCCACTCTTACACCCTTAATGTTTGGATGTTGACGTATCGCGTGAAGTAGAGGCTCCAATGCCAAGACGAAAAGGAGGGGCGAGAGCGGGCAACCCTGTCTCGTGCCATTGTATAGCCGAAATGGGTGTAATGGGGCACCCGATATCTGTACTTGTGCCCGCACGTTATCATACATTGCTTTCGTTGTAGTTAAGTATTCCTCTGGGAAGCCCATGCACTTCAGAACTGGGAAAAGAAATTGCCATCGAACTCTGTCGAACGCCTTTTCCGCGTCTAAGGATACCACTAACGTGGGGGAGAAGAGATCCTTCTAATGGCCATTGTATGTACCTAGACAAGAAGTCCCTGAGAATTGCCATTGTTTGTACTGAGACGAGAATCCCCTTTGTGTTACTGCTATTAGACGTATTAATGATCAGCTATTGATTGGAATTTGACTTCTCATTAAACCCAAGGCCACTTTGCACCCAATCCATCGACAGGACAACCAAATGTTCATTTTTGGACTCAACTTCCAGCACACCTCGTGTGACACAGAGAACTAGTCTCAATTCAGTGGAGAAGAGTTAGCTTGCCTGAATCATGTTACCTGTACAAATATTATGGCTGGATGATGAGGTACCTCAACATTCGCATTATTACATCTACTACAGATGGGTGCCTTGGTGGTCCCAATTTGAAAACATTTAGAAAAAAAATGGAGTAATTGATAAAACCCTTATTGCACCTTAACAGGCTGCAGACTCTTAGAATTCCAGAACTCTAGAACTTTTACAGAACTCTGCCATTGATGTTTTCCTCCAAACTATCTGAGCATACTATAAATAAGGTGCTAGTGTGTTACAGTTCATACTCCGCGTGATGTGCATGCCAATTTTACAAATTTGTCTGGCAGATAATTTTTGGAAATGCAATCCAATAAGTTGAGAGGTGAGAACTAATTTGTATTATTCTTTTGGAGTATTCAATGTACTAAAACCAAAAGTGATCAGTAAACTGCTGTGAAATGTCAGCCATATTGGAAAAAAACAGTCCAGCAATTTATATTATTTCATTCAGGTGTAGATTTACCACAGGTCACTGTTGAATGGGAAAAACAAACAAACAGCTTAACAGTGTAGGAAATCAAATCTCAATATATCTCTTTTAGACTATTAACTAAGGTGAGAAAATTCAAAGTGAATTTCAAATTTAAGGCCAAAGTAGGTGACCTGGACGCAGACCTGAGTTGTAGAAATTTTGTGGTTTGGCTATTTTGATCTTAAAGGTGAAATTCACTTTAATTTCTCAATGTAATGAATAACCATGTATGGTGCTTAGTTTTCTTACTACACAGTACCACATACTCCCAGGGGTTCATTCACTTAAATAAAGGATAATTTGAGGTGTTCTTCTAAGATAATTACTAGTTATGTCGTTTATACTGGACTTGATATGTTTTTTTATTAATACCATCATTATACAACACCAACATATTCCCCTTTACAATGATACAAAGGGGACAGAGTTGAAGAAAACTCATATGAGTTTACAATCTATAAGGATTTGAGGTCGGCTGATATATGTCGTTAGGTGTCTTACCCTTGACTTGTTGGTGACATTACCATTGCTCTAACCAGCAAATATATTGATAAAAGAAAATACAAGATATCTTTTCACAGAGAGGGTACACAGAGGCAGAATAATGGTGCTTTAGTGTATTCAAAACTGCCCTTAGTAAAATCGGTGGGAAAAAATGAAGGACATTGCTTGGAGTGGATTTGAATGCCGTCACCTAAAGTTTAATCTCAGCCCTGTGCCGTCTTTATGAATTCTTGGCTGAGTTTAATCTTAAAGTTATGCCAAGTTGTATCCAAGGGTTTCTAGTGAATCTCTGAAGTGATAATTTTTGGAATGATCCCATAAACATCTGATCTTTGTCCATTTTGGCCCAACTTAGTATTTTATCAATCAAACTCATAGCAATGACATTCCGAGATATGACTGCAGGACCGGGAGAGAGGTGATCTGGCTAAACCCTAAAAATGTCATTATCAAGTGAGGCAAAGTCAGGAGTGGAAGTCGATATGTTGAACTGAATTGTCAAACATTAAAGGTTAAAAGGTACACTATAGTCACTATAGTCACCAGAACCACTACTGTTTAATGTTCTGGTGTCTACAGCCTGTCCCTGAAGGCTTTTTTTTTAATGTAAATGCTGTTTTTTCAGAGGGACACCTCTAGTGACCTCTAGTATCATCTCCAGTGACAGTCACTCAGACGGTCAGTAGAGGTCCAGTGTGAAGCACCTGTGTGCTATGATGCTGAACGCTCCCCATAGTAATGCATTGATTCAATGCATCTCTATTAGGAGATGCTGATTGGCACGGCGCACTGTGTTGCCTATGGGAAAGCATTGGATTTGCATGAGATGCCATAGGCATTAGGTTGGCTGAGATCATCAAGACAGATGATCTCAGCCATGGAAGCGGGGTCAGCTGCCACGAGACCGATGTGGCAAGGGAGAAAGGATAAGTTTAATCACATTGTTTCTACACAAAGAGGGGCCCGGGGACCCTAAAAGATAGTCCAATATTATAATGTTATGAATACGTTTGTAAAAATGTAATAAAGAGATTCATCTCAAGAAATCCTTTAAGTGGCAAATGTGAATAATTAATTAATTAAATTCTAGTGGGATTCCAAGACCCCTCCTCACAATCTAGAGGGAGACAGGGTACCAATTTCCTCTCTGTACCCCCATAACCAGTGCCTTTTTATTATTTATTTATTGTTTTATTAACCACTGACCCTCATTCATGGAATGAAGACGGGGGAGCTGTTGGCTATTTAGGGGTTATCCTCGCTGTTCTTTATTTACCAATCATGAGTTCACTCTAGCAGCTCCTATAGACAGATGGTCTATTTATTTAAATGGCTATTTATTCCCAATACCGGTGATGCAATCAGACTGAATCATTCACAGTTTGGTGTTTTTTTTCTTTAATTTGGTTTTAGTATCTACAATGAATCGAACAAACTGGAATGTCCTGAGTCATGACCGCCACATCAAATTCATAGCTGAAAGGACAGCCCAATATTGTTCGTGGAATTTAAGAAGAAAAGCTAAAAACGATGACACGTAGCTTCAGTCATGCAAAACCATTCACAACAATATGATAAATATTACTAAACAAAGCCATAAAAAGGGTGTGAAATGGTGACATAGAGTGTGTGACACAGCATTTTGTTCTTATTGATAATCTATATCAGCCATGAGTAATCTTGATAGGCAAGATGTTTTTGCACGATCTTCTCCAGCACAGGCCAAAGATAGATAACCAGCTCTTGTAAAACTACAATACCCCTGATGCTTTGCAAGCCGTAAGGGGCTCTGCCTTTTAGCCCATCTGTGTATATATGTACGTGAGTGTGTGCAGGGGTCAAGTGTGGGAACTCACCCAAGATCCACCCTCCACCCCCCCAAAGGGAGGTATGGATGGGGGGAATCATGGATGGAAATGGGGGAGAGATATAGAAGGGAGGGAGACATGGATAGGGGAGAGATATAGAAGGGAGAGAGACATGGATGGATAGGGAAGAGATATAGAAGGGAGGAAGACATGAATGGGCGAGAGATGTAGAAGGGATGGAGACTACTAGTGATTCCATGATAAAGATTTCACCCCCCTTCTTCTCAGTGAGTCAGTAGTGGGGGGGTGGACATGAAATTGGGGAACAGACATGAAACGGGGTGGGGGAAGACATGAAATATGGGGAGGATATGAAATATGGGGGAATGGACATGAAATGGCGGGTGTACATGAAATATAGGGGGGGGAATGGACGCTGAAACACACTACGCCGATGTGGCCAGTGTGAAAAAAGGGTCCGGGAGACTGCGCATGCCTATGCTAGTAAGACTGGGATAGGGGTTTAGAGAGACAGAGTTAGGGGGCTAGTAAGACAGGCTTAGGGGGTTAGTAAGACAGGGTTAGGGGGGCTAGTGAGACAGGGTTAGGGGGTTAGAGGGTTAGTGTGACAGAGTGAGGGGAAAACACAGTCTTAAAATACATTTAATATATTTTGCTTTGCCCCCATCCTGCTTACCTTCTGTGCAGACAGGGGAAGCAATAATTAATTTCATGGTGGTCCAGTGGATGATGTCAGAGCACAGGCTGGGAACCCAGCGCCTGTGCTCTGACACTCACAGTGCACCGGAACAACATGGGACTGCAGCAGCCCCAGCAGCACACTGGACCACCAGGAAGTTCACTAGCAGCACACTGGACCACCAGGGAGTTTGTTACAGCTGGCTCAAGGCAGGGGGCTCGATCAAAGCCTGTAGGACTACTAACGGGAACAGCGTTCCTGCTGTGGAAAAAGTGCAGGAACACCGTTCCCACACGTTCCTGCAGGACTCAAGCCCTGTGTGTGTGCAGATACGTAACTAGAAACAACTGGGACCGGTGTGAAAATTTCCCTGGGGCCCTCCATGTGTTTCATCCACAGCCGCTAGAAGTGTCCTTAGGGCCAAATGTAAACACAGAAAAGGAGAGACTGCAAGGACAGTCTATTTGCATTAAAACCACTAGATTGTGTACTTATTGTCAGTTTATTTACAGAATGCATATTGTAGGTACATAGTGGATACAGTTGCTCATAATATTGGAAGGATTTAAGCCACGTGTTTCTTTGTTTGTTTATTAGACTGGGCAACTTTTTTACAAGCGTTCTACGTCTCGGACTGTCCTAAATGAGAATAAAAGTCTATGTATTCAGGGCGCAATGCACTGTGACATGGTCAGAGGGCGCACAGGCTGAAATGTTAGATTGGGAGGCAACAATATGCTGTGCATAGGGTCTATCTGTGTGTCTGGAAATTAGATACATGTGGGCAAAGAAGGACACTTTCATTTTAGGGGTCTGGCTGTGGACGGGAGTGGGCTGTTCTGAGAAAGTTTAGGTGTTTTATTAATAATTTATTTAACAAAAATGAAATTTAGAAGACCGATATATCTTATTTACACAGACTGATTTCTCAACACATTTATTGTAGTTTAAAGATACATTACTGGGAGTATTATTGCTGTGGAGCTCTGTGATACACTCAGACACACCAATAATATGGAGTTCCTAGAAAAGAGGGACAGAGTGATTTTGGCCCAGAATAGTGATTTGTCCCTCCTAAAAAGAGACACTTGGGACATATGGGAAAGGCAGATAGGGTCTGAAGCAGAGAGTGGCTTGGGGTGTCCAAGAGAGAAAGGCTGGGGGTGTTCAGGAGAGTTAGGCTGGGTATGACAGAGAGGAGGCTAGGAGCGTTCAGGAGAGGAAGGTTGGGTATGAAGGAGAGGGAGACTGGGAGTATTCAGGAGAGGGATGCTGGATATGAAGGAGATGGAGGCTGAGTATCAAACAGAAGGAGGCTAGGTATGAAGGAGAGAGAGGCTGGCAGTGTTCAGAAAGGGAGGCTGAGTACAAAGGAGATAGAGGCTGGGTATGAAATAGATTGAGGCTGAGAGTGGTCAGGAGAGGGAGGGTGGGTATGACAGAGAGGAGGCTAGGAGCGTTCAGGAGAGAAAGGTTGGGTATGAAGGAGAGGGAGGCTGATTGTATTCAGGAGAGGACTTCTGGATATGAAGGAGATGGAGGCTGAGTATCAAACAGAAGGAGGCTAGGTATGAAGGAGATAGAGGCTGGGTATGAAATAGATTGAGGCTGGGAGTGGTCAGGAGAGGGAGGCTGTGTATGAATGAGAGGGAGGCTGGGTCTGTTCAGGAGAGGAAGGCTGGGTATCAAGTAGAGGGAGGCTGGGAGTGTTTAGGAGAGGAAGGCTGGGTATGACAGAGAGGGAGGCTGGGGGATATTCAGACTACAGGTTGGCATTGTCCCAGAAAGGATTCACTTGGGATATTGAATGCTTGTTTAAATTACAGAAGCATTCTGGACCTACTCAGGAATTCACTAACCAACCTCGACGGTTTCACCCAATTAAATAGAGGTGCATCAAATGACGGAGATGCTGGGAGAGATTCCCAATTCAGACTATGTCTGGATGCCTGTTTACTACTTGGTATAAATACATATTAGATGCTCAGTGTGAGGGTACATTCTGCCAAAGCAGTTTTCCATGGGATCCAAAAGGAAAAAAACTAACAAAAATGCATAATAAATAGAATATATGATAATTTAGGGAACGTACTTTTGAAAATTGATTTCAGGAACATTTTACTATAAGGCAGGCATAGTATTACACAATCACACATACACATGGGTTTCCTGAATAGATATAGCTCACAGGGTTACTCAATAAAGTGTAATAATTACAGACACAAAGTGAATTTCACATTGGAGGCTATTTATCAATGTTGGTCTAAAATTCTAAATTCACTTTGAATTTCAAATAAACCCATTAATCAACGGGACATATTTGTGAAATCAAGCAATGAATGGGAATCTTGCGGCATATCATTCCCTCACACTGCAGGGCAGCACTTTTCATGTACTGACCATCAATGTGAAGAAGTGGTGTTTGTTAAGTACAACATGGTGTGTACAGAAACCATAATGTCGCAGCCACATGTATCTGGCCAGGGGAGATAATGCAATGTAAAATTATCAGACCATGATTAATACGAATTAGACACATTCTGCAAAGCATTATCTAAATCTCGAATGACAGGTAGAAGAGATGCGGCTTCAATGGACAGTCTAGACCAGGGGTAGGCAACCTTTGTCACTCCAGATGTGAACTACATCTCCCATGATGCTTTGCCACCATTATGGCTGTAAGAGCATTATGAGAGATGTAGTCCACAACAGTTTGAGTGACAAAGGTTGTCTACCCCTGGTCTAGAGTGAAAACACTAGTTTAACCCCTTAACGCCGTTACAGCGTTCTATGCCGTCCCGCATTAAGTGGGCTTTAAAGCGGTTGCGGCGGCATAGAACGCCATAACGGCTTTGAGCCCTGGAGCGCCCGGGATACTTACCTACCCGGCACTCAGCTTCGGGAGGACTGCATCACAGCCCAGGCAGCCCTCCCCCGGCAAAAGAAGCCGCCGGGGGCCATGTGATCGCTCTCAAAGAGCGATCACATGGTCCCCTATAGCTGGCTGTGGATCTGCCAGCAGGGGGACTGTTTGAAATTTCAGTCAGTCCCCCTGCTGGTGGGAAAGTAAAAAAATAAATAATTAAACATGTTTTAAAATAAATTAAATATATTTATAAATATATAATATATGTATATATATTATATAAATAATATATATACATATTATATATATGTAACGTCATACATAGTGTATTTTAATATTAATATAAGCACATATATTAGTATTAAAATACACTTAGAATGACGTTACATATATATAATATGTATATATATATATTATATATATAATAGATATATACACATACATTATATATATATATATATATATATATATATATATACGTATAATTACAATAATAAATAAATAAAATAATAAAATTAATAAATAAAATATTGAAACAAAATTTAATATAAATTATATATTGATATGTAATTTCATTCTAACTGTATTTTGTTATTAATATATATATATTGGTAACAAAATACACTTAGAATGACATTCTATATATATCTATCTATATATAAAATACAAATAACCGCAAATATATATATATAGATAAATACATATAATTACATAAAAGATTACATTAGTATACACGTTGAATTTAAATACCTATAAATGCATATATATTAAAATTCTACGTGTATATTTAAGTAATCTTTTAACATAATTATGTGATTTGATTAAATAAAATTTGATTGACATGCCTGACAACACAGGGAAAAAGTGCAAAGAATTTAATTTGCAAGCACTATATTTGACCCTGTAACTCTCCAAGACACGAAAAAACCTGTACATAGGGGGTACTGTTTTACTCAGGAGACTTCGCTGAACTCAAATATTAGTGTTTCAAACTGGTAAATTGTATTACAACGATGATATTGTAAGTAAAAGTGACGTTTTTTGCATTTTTTACAAACGAACTGCACTTTTATGGACTATATTATTGTTGTAATATGTTTTACTGTTTTAAAACACTAATATTTGTGTTTAGTGAAGTCTCCCGAGAATAACAGTACCCCCCATGTACAGGTTTTATGGTGTTTTGGAAAGTTAGAGAGTCACATATAAGGCTTGCATTTCATTTTTTTGACATTTAAATTTGCCAGATTGGTTATGTTGCCTTTGAGAGCGTATGGTAGCCCAGGAATGAGAACTACCCCCATGATGGCATACCATTTGCTAAAGTAGACAACCCAGGGTATTGCAAGTGGGGTACGTCCAGTCTTTCTTAGTAGCCACTTAGTCACATACACTGGCCAAATATTAGTTTTTTTGCTTTTTTCACACAAAAACAAATATGAACGCTAACTTTGGCCAGTGTTTGTGACTAAGTGGCTACTAAAAAAGACTAAACATACCCCACTTTCAATACCTTGGGTTGTCTACTTTTTCAAATGGTATGCCATTACGGAGGTAATTCTCATTCCTGGGCTTCCACACCGTCTCAAAGGTAACATTACTAATCTGGCAAATTTTAATTTGAAAATGGAACGTTCTATATTTGACCCTGTAACTTTCCAAAACACCATAAAACCTGTTAATGGGGGGTACTATTGTACTTGTGAGACATTGCTGATTACAAATATGTGCATTTTTTTTCAGTAAAACCTAGCAGTATTATGACATTCACAGCAAAAATGTCAGACAGAAATACAAATTTAAAAAAACATTTTTTTAAAATTTTATTCTTAATAAATTATGTTCCATATATTAATAGTTAATGATAAATTAAAGCCCTGTTTCTGTTGAACAAAATGATATATAATAAGTGTGGGTGCACTTAATGTGACAGCGGTGAATTACGGTTGAACAGATATATAGCACAAATTCCAGTTTTTGTTTACGCTTTGTTTTGATCAGAACGTGCACTATTGACTCCGTCCTGAAGGGGTTAAAACCAGCGACAACCACTTATTATGCAGCGCTTTGGAATATGTTGGAGCTATATAAATAAACTATTTTATACTGTTTGATTAGAGAAGATGTCATAACCAGTGGAATACGGGACAGCTGGGAGGTCTTGCCAAGGTTCTTGAAAATACATACTGCAGGGCTATTTTAATAGGTGGATTATGTTAATTGTAGTGTCTGCGTTTGATTACCCCAGTTTTTAAAATGTGTTGAAATTCCCAGTCACTAGGCTGACCCAGCTGCAATCCTCTGTACTATAATTAACGCAATCATCAGCTTGCAAGCTTTAGAGTTTTATAGTATTATAATCACCATGTTTCTAGCAACTTATTCTTTAGTGTTATAGAAAGTAAAATAAAAAAATAAAAAATTATAACAAAACATGTTATGGTGAGCAGAGCCAGAGGCAAGAGTTGGACTATGCTCAGACCAGCTTATAAAACCAGCTTGTAGATTGCGTTATGATTCTCTATATTACATCAATGATTGAGGACTACAATTCCCATCATCATCATCACACATTCTGTGTTTACTTCTGGCTGGCAAAGATTTCTGAGAGATCTTAGAGATCCAGAGGTTGACAATAAGGCACACTATTGGATGCAGTGCTTGTAGAGTGGCTCTGAAGGAATGCCTGGTTATATGATGTGACTCCCTGCCCTGGGCAGTGCCCCAATCAGAGAGCAGATGGCAGCATTCATTGCAGAAGAGGGTAGCCATCCTGGGCACACATCAGCCTGATCTAGTTCTGCAAAGGTCAGAGAATGTAAACTTCCTCAGATAGCTGTGAGTGAGCAGATGAGAGGCAGGGAGTAGATACATACACACAGGGGGTGGAGAGCTGATTCAGATGGGAGGAGATCACTAGCTAAGGAGCTGGGATCTGCAGCAGGCTGATACAAAGTGCAGACCCCTCAGCACTCAGGGCAAAGGGGGTCTCTGGGCTGCAGGCTGTGCCATCACCTACCTACCCTTCAAGACAAGGTGAGTGTTCTATAGATACAATGAAACAAACAGTATCACTGTCTGAGGACATGATACAAACCCCACACACCCCAAAAGATCTGATGTATTGCTGGCTCCTAATGTTTTAATGTCAGACTGTATGTAGTAGATTGCACAACCCTCCGGCACACAGAGGGTTAAATATCAGAGGGATATGCATACACCTTTCTCAGTTACCCTTCCTCTCCCCCCAATGCTCAGCATTCAGGGGTTATGGTAAAGGCAGCTCTGGCATTATATATAAACTTGCTGTTAAACTCTTAGTTATTTTATGATTGCAATTGGATACAGCAATTGGATTTATTGCTATTTCTATTTGGTTCCAACTTTTAAAGTGTCTGGGGGAGCCCTGGGGTGCCTGGGTGAGTTTGGGGTGCATGGATAAACTTGGGGTGTCTGATGAGGTTGCACTGTATATGGGTTTACAATGAACTGCTTGAAGGTCTTGTGATCTGATTAGAGATACACAGTTTCACATGCTTTCTGTTATCGTATGGTTTCTATAGCACTGCCTGAACTTTGATGGAAGTGCACATGGTAACTTTGATAGACATATTCTGGACCTCAGGCTCGCAAAGCATCATGGGAAACAACAGCTGGGGGTCTGCCACTGGACCACCCCTGCACTCCATCAGGGTGATCTCCCTGGTAAAAGGGGAATTTGGTGCAAGTCTCGTGTTGACATTCCTCTGTCAGACCTGTGCTGACTATTTTTAGGATTTGATACAGTGTGATTTATAATGTTTGCTTATAGCTTTATATTTATATTATTAACAAATCTAGTGGTGTGTATACATTTAGCCTTCATTACATTGGGGTAATTAAAACATCAATGTCACATAATAGCTACTATTTAAAAGTAGAATCTGTACATGTATAGACTTAATGACTGATGCTTGTCCTGTTTTCTCTATTTCTATTAAAAGTCATTATTTTATATAGTATACAATTGTTTTTCGCATTGAGACCTGAAATGACTTTAACACATTTGGGCCACATGTGAGTGTTCGGTGCTTATGGTAGTCTGATATTCTCGCCTCGTTCGTTCTTATCTGCGAAATAAATTTGAAGATTTTTGGGGGGAGTGTATTTATTAAAGTCCGAATTATAGAGAAATAAAATCTGGTAAAAAATAGTCAGTTTGTGATTAGAGCTGAGTTGTGGCTTTTTTTTTTCCAGATTAGCAACTTTTTTCTAAATTGTGCCTTTTATATTTTAAATTGCTACAATTCAGCTTTTAGTAAATAAACCCATTCGGCTAACATTCGGCTTTCAATGTGCTATAATTAAGAGTTTATTCACTAACCAGAATTCAGGCTCAAACTACAATGCTATGACGTTCGAATCCTGGTCAGTCCGCCTCACCAGTAAGTGTCCCTGTCAAAACACCTACCTGTGTAAATCCGCCTTCCTCAAATCCTCATAGATTGATGGCTCATTTAAACTGGGCCTTCGTCACCTCTTGTTCTGTATGTCAGTTACTTGCTGTCTAATATCACCATTCCATAATTGTACAGCACTACAAATTATGTTGGCGCCATATAGATTCTAATCATAATCATTTTTGTTTCAATTCTGCCATTTCAATTTTACTTTGCTACAATTCAATTCAGTGAATAAACTTCTAAAATGATTTGTAGATTTACAGCTAATGAAATAAAATTAAATACAATAAAATAAATCTATGTCCTTGGGATTTAAAACAAGGATTAAACACACTTAATACCTGTTAAGTCTTTGTTTTAAGTAGTGTGTATTAAATGCCTTGTGTATTATTAATGGAATGTTAAATCCTTTAAAATTGAAATGTACAATGGTATTTGCATTGCATGAAAATCTTAAGCGCCCCCCCCCAGCATATTTAATCTGTCCAGCTGTTTTGTTTGTCATGCCTAAAACTTTTCGGTACTATAGTGATGTCATCTTGACCTTATATGACATCATGACATCCCGGTAACTGTGACTCGACTACATCTTTTTGCTGAGCAGGACACTGTAACTCAAACCTAAATATTTCTCGCTACATGTGTTATGTAGACAGATGTTTGTGTCATTTTTTCCGTGGAGAAACAAGACACCAGTATTGAAGGGTTTCCCCCACTGGAAAGATGTGTGGTTTTATACTTACGAGTGAAGCCAATTTTCCCCAAAACTATTTAATAACTTTTGATTTAAATAAGAACCAGTCGGTGCTCATTTATCATTCTCTTAGAAATTGACAAACTAGTTTGCAGAAAATGCATACTATGGAGTTTTCACATATGACCTACTTTTATTGATGTGCAACCTCTTTGAAAAAATAATATTTTCAAACTGGTTTCAAATCTGTTATCACCATGTTTTTCAATTAATTTTTGTGTGTGTGTGTGTGTGTTCTAGTGTGCTCCAAAGATTGGGAGATGTCAAGTAAATACACAGATTTATTAACTAAAGTCCAAATTGTAGAGGATTATATTTTTGATGACAAAATACAGGGTAAAATAGTTGATGTGGCAAAAAAAAAAATCGAGTTGATTACTTTGGCCTTGAATGTCCAGTTGTGGTTTTTTTGATTTACAACAAATAGCAGAGTTATTTACTAAAGTTAGAATTCAAAAGTAGATTTCAAATTTAAGGCCAGAGTATCCGATCTGGAAACATAGCTGAGTTAGAGAATTTTTCCAGTGCGGCTTTTTTCAACCTTAAATTTGAAATTCATTTTAATTCTCACGTTGGTAAATAACCTTGTTAGTGTACATGCTGTTGGCTGGTCCTGGAAAGTGGCATCTTGCAGTATGTAACATCATTATGCTGCAGAATTTCAGTCAATTCATTCAGCAAGGCGTAACAGGCTGCATTGATTAATCAATTTTTTTCTGTACCGTATAAATTCTACATGTTACACGGTAGCACTTTTCATGCATTGTCCTAAGGAAAAGTAATGTAAATAAATGGGGGATCCGGCAACTCTAAGATTACCTGTGTTTTTGTTGTCTGTTATGTCTGCTTGATAGCACTGCTGAATATATTGCAAATATTTAAACACATGACAATGTTACAGATTTAAGTAACAAGCCCAAACATTTTGTCAGATATATATCACTTTCTTTTTGCATACCATTGTCCTTTTGGCAGGTTTTTGGGTGGGAGGATGGGTGATCCTTAGGTCATCTAAAATTGACCCTAACGCTTCCTATTTAGCACACATTCTGCTTCCCCCACCCCCATAGGATGCTTTTTTTTTGCGATCACGCAGTTCTATCTGTTAATATCTGCATAAAGTTCATAGCTGTTTGTTTACTCCTATTACACAAGGTAGCCAGTGTCACCCATTAACCCCTCGGCTACCGGACTCCGAACAACCACATTTGAATGTTTTTAACAACATATCAATATATTGCAAAAAGGAATAACATACAAAACAAAAACACAAAAATCAACACAAACAGTAAAATAACTTGTTTTTTTTCTGTTTGTACTGGCAAATAAAATATGTGTCCCTTTTGCTTTATCCATCTTGAAGGCTCCAGGGTAATTCGCTAAACCAGTAATTGTGGAAAATTTAACTGGGAAAGTCTCCATCCATTGAGCTTTTTTGGCCTAAGACTAGCCATTCCGTTGCAAATTCTCCTCTGTTCCCCTGAAGTCACTGACAGGGTTAATAATATGTACACCAACTTACTAAGATGTATCAAACAAAGGTGAAAGTTTCTAAAAAAAAAAATCATCCTATTCAAATAATTATAGGGCTGTGAATGTAGAATAATGAAATACATTTTCTTTTGTGTGTGATTACCTGATGTAATTAGTGCCACTTTGAACTTGTTTATTAGTCTCGGTGAAGAGACTTTGCATAATATACGAAATTCATTGTGCACGCACGTTTAATCCCCAGAACAAGACTTCATCCGTGTGCAAAGTTTTTCTATTTTGTTTTTAATGTAACATGCGCAGTATTTATTTATTTATTACTGGTATTTATAAAGCACCAACATATTCCACAGCGCTGTACACAATATACACAGACAAATGCAAAAGGTAGAGATGGCCCTGTCTGTAAGCTGAGATCTAGCCTTTGAAGCTCTTTAATACGAAGTTCTTAGCTAGATAGCCCATGAGCTTACCATCTAAAGGATGCTCTGCCTTCACTATTTCAGCCTCCATAATGTGGGCGCTTGCTAATATTCTTATGAGAATGCTCCATACCTTGGTCAATAACAAGCAGTGGTTTGAATTTAAAGGGACATTCTAAACACCGTAATCACAACGGGTTATTGTAGAGTTTATCGGTGCAATCCCACAGTTTTTTTTAGTTTTTTTTTGTAATTCTTTATTTTTGCAGTGCAAAGGTTATCATACAGAGTAATATAGACAGTACCAGGAGTAAATAAGAATAGAAATGCTTATACAACTACGTCCTATAGGCAACACACTTTTTTTATGTTATACAAGATGTGGTATAAGCAAGATAAACAATATGTCCGACTGCATAATGAGTAGGGGACAACAATCTTCGATAAACCAAAAAATGCCAAAGACATTGTTAGAGAAGCATAGGAGATGAATCAAACTGGGTAGCATGGTTGCACTTGTGCCCACCCAGGAGGCCACTCTTAGGTTTGGTGATAGGCTAGTGACTAACAGAACACCAGGAGTCAAGTCAAATGAGCATTAAAAGCATAACAAATAAAATAAAGGATGAAAGAAAAATAACAAAAGGCCCTCTGCAGCTTAAGGCCAACTCAAGATGGTTCAGCTCAGCCTATACCCTCCCACGGTATTGTACAGTCATGTTTGAGTAAAAAACACATTCTTATACCCTGACCGAGTTGTGTCTTTGGCGATGTAGCTTGTGAGTAAAGGATAAAAAGCCATAATGCCCAGGGGTACCTTGCCAGCACAACCCTCCCACCCCCAAGGAATGACCCAGGTATGGTCCTCCAGGGCTCATGCCGAAGTAATTTCTGGATTCAGCTCCAGCTGTGAGGGAGAGTGATGGTGTCTGTTGCTTAGGTCGGGCTCCCACAGAAGTTGCTTCTGTCCGCTTTGCGATGAGCTCAGGCAGTGTTGGCTGGGATGAACTATCTGGCAGCTGGAGGTGCTTGGGAGAACGCATTCGCTGGTGCAGCCTGGTCCAGAAGTCTGCAAATATGTGGTTGAGTGTATCGAGGGTTGTAGCTCCTTCGTCACTGGAGTCTGAATGGGACGCTGCATTCAACAGCTTGGTGTAGCGCAAGCTGCAGGGCCCTTAAGAGAAGTAATAGGGCATCCGAAGGTGTGGACTAGGATCACCCCTACTGGTGAGCAGGAGGGATCCACTTGAGTCCAGCAGCAGGTGATCCGGGAGTGCGGTTGCCGCTTCTCCCGTCTGGCAACCGCACTAGGCCTCACCTTGACCTCCATAGATTACACATGTGATCTTAATTTTCAAGTTGCCATAAGCAACCGAATACGGCAGCAGAGCATCAGGATTCAACCTGAGTCAGACAAGTTCCCCAAGAGGCACATAAACCAGGCAAGCTGGTGGCTAAGCGAGGAGTTTTGGCAAAGCGTGCCCTGCCACCATGAAGGTCAGGCCTAGTCCCACCCCACAAGTTTTTCATATATCCCCAAAATTCAGAGATTGGACTACAAACCGTATTACAAGCACATCTCCAGAAAGCCGCCCCTCCTCCTGCCTGTCTCCCAATTGTGAGAGGTATACATTTTTGACCAAGCCATTTGTGAGTGGTTTATGACATTACATAGTTACATAGTTACATAGCTGAAAAGAGACTTGCGTCCATCAATTTCAGCCTTCCTCACAAATGTTGTTGCTTTCTCAGAATATTGCTTTCTCAGAATCTGATGACGCTATATAAATAATAAAATAATAATAATAATAATAATGTAGCAAATTATCTCACTGTCACAGTATCAATACCAAACATTACCAAAAACAAACTGCATGCTTAAACAATAAATTAAAAAATGTCAAAGTGAAACATTTATCATGGATACCATTAGAATCCATAGTTACATATGTTTCTCTACTTTTAAACTTTAGCCCACTAATCTCTTTCCAGCACTCTTATAAATCTCACCCAACGTCTTTCAATTCTGGTTTACACTTTACTTACAAACTAAAATCCCACCTAGGCACTGCTGCATTCCTGGACTCTCCATAATTAACCCCCCTTCCCTGACCCCATGTGACCCCTTCCTCAGCAGTCTCGCTCAATCCTGCTCATCTGTTCTCATTATTCCCTTCCTTTTTATAGCCTCCCCCTCACAGCGCACCCATTGCCCTAAGTGTATGTATCCTGACCCAGTTGTCAGAATACACATTTAATCTGATTCCGCACACTCCTAGTGTTTAATGTGCTCATTCGTCCGTAATCTACAGAAAGTATGCTGGTGAGTGAGCTATGAATATCATATACAGTAAACCGTTGCTGTTGAGAGTTTATTCCATGAATTATATACCTCCCAAGTGTCCCTATTAAGGAGGGACAGTCCCCATTTAGGGCCCAAATGCCTCTGTCCATTTTCTCAGTCTTAATGTTCCTCTTTTCTAGGAGCTCCATATTGTTGGTGTGTCTGAGTGTATAACAGAGCTCCGCAGCAATACAACTCCCATTAATGTGTCTTTAAACTACAATAACTGAGTTTAGAAATCAGTCTGTGTAAATAAGATACATTGTTCCTGTTTTAAATTACATTTTAGTTGTATGAATTCTTATCAGTTAATCACCAAACATTTCACAGAACAGCCACACCCCTAGAATTAAAGAGTTCCTCTATATCCATTGACATGTTTGGAGTTATGGCATTATAGCGATTTGAGAACAGAATTGTAAAATATTGTCCAGGCTGTGTCTGTAGGTGCGTTGGAGATTTTCATTTTTTTATGTACTACAACTTGCTGTTTAGAGAATAAAACCACTGTATTTGCAAGCTTAGAGAGACACATAACTTTTTTTTCCGCTTGCTTCTCTAAAAAGGAAAATGCAAAAGTGTGCATTTAGTGTGATAAAATGTCTCTCTCCAAGAAACTATTATAAGAAACTGTGTCATGACATCTCAGATCTAGAGAAATATTAGGGTATAGCTATATTAGGTATATGAGGGTATTGCTAAAAAAATCGTATAATTGCATTATTCAAAATATAACGGATATTATGACTCAGATGTTGGTATCTCACTCAAGATTAGATCAATTTGGGCAGACCGTGCCTTGCGATTATTGGGTTACGCCCCTCAATTTGGGCTTCCAACGATATATGAAGGTCAGTACAGTTTAGGAAAGAAACTGAAATCTATAGCAGAGAAAGAAGGTGGTTCTGAATTAATTCAGTTTTGCTACGATGACTTACCTGCTTTTTGACCTTTACAACAACCAGATTGATTTGGTTTCAGTAATAATACCAAATATTGCCAATTCAGACGATTTAAATAAAGTCGATGCTAAAGGTGCGTCCTTATCTCTGGGATTTACACCATTAATTAAAACATTGAAAACCATCTATAAGTTGTTTAACTTAGTTTTATGAAATGCTTGATTATTATACAAATGTATATTAAAGACTTAGCAAATCACATCATTATCTTGTTCAGATAAGGCAGAACCAAGGCAAACATTGCAAATGAGGAATGGAACACGGTTTAATTTTTTGTCTTCCCTGTATGCTTTCGCTATGCCGCCTGTCAAGTCCAAAGGACAGAGTTTATAACAATAATCCAAAAACCCAAAAATGATTCAGCGCTCTGTTAACAATCAGAGTACCCTTTAAACTCATTGTATATGCTAGTCGCAGAATTTATAGCAATGATGGACAGGGAGCTAAAATGGTGGCATGCATTTACAGAATTAAGAGGTGTGACAGTTTTGTATATTATTTTCACCCCTCACCCCAAGTACATATTTGTTAAATGTAAGGATAATATTAAAAATCCTGGGACTGACCGTTCCCCTTTAAGAACCTCTTTACTAATGGAATGTAACTTGCCCGTAAGGGTTACTACCGGGCATTGCCCAAGGCATTCTAATAGATCTGAGTTCATTTAAAACAATTACTGTATTTGGCAAAATAAGGATTAAGAGCCTGTGAGGCCCCAGGCAGGTTACCGGTTTATGGACCCCCCTTCATTCTTTACATAGGGATGGTTAATGGGGCCATGGACATTCATAGTTCCGGGGCCCCTGTCTGATCCCTGAGCTGTAGGTAGCTACCTAGGGTGACCTTAAACAATTTGGATTTTATCTCCATGGTTTGATGATCCATCCGCACTTGTGCATAAGTAAATCTTGCCCTGATCTTGGGATAAGCCACTTTGGAACATAAAAATGGAGTGAAATATGTCTTGTGTGACATTTTAAACATTTCCAGTATGAAGCAGAAAGCTGTTTGTTAGTACTTTTGGGATCAGTATGGGCCCCCAGGGGTGAGAATTAAGATGGCAGGTCCCTCCGCTGAGTGTCCCTGTCAATCATGTTTTGGTTGATCTCATAAATATTCGCAGTGTGATTGGCGGTAATAAAGAATGGTTAGGGGTATCTAGTGTGTTTACATGGTAAGAGAGAATTAATGGGTTTAGAAGGATTTCTCAGATAGGAAACTAGCAGCGTATAGTATAAAGGGGGGTTTGTGTGGGGACAGTGATGCCACTTTGTATCAAGCCACTTTCTAGTTTATAACTGAAATGGCACAATTACAGCAGACAGGAAGCTTTTTGTTCTGTCACACAAAATATTAACATATAGCGGTTACGGCATCAATTAATACATTTTATGTAATGAAAACCCTTCAAAATAATCATAGATCAAAGCCAATTTATATAAAATATACACAGTAACCCTTACTTGTTAGTTTCAAACTCAAAGTATTTAGATCTTTGTTCAATTTGCCAATCTCTCCTTGTGTGCATCTAATCCTGTATTCAGAAAAGAAATGTCTCTGATTTATTCAGTAAAAATGAAATTGAAATTGAAAAGCGACCTGCAAGTCTTAGGCAAAACTAAAGGATTTGGAAAAATTCCCAACTCTAGCCATTGTTCGGGTGTTTTAGCTAAAATGTAAACCTTTTGGATTTCAGCTTCCTGGTTTGATGATCCATCTACACTTGAGTATAAATTTTAACGGAGCACTTTACAATAAACGGTTAAGTCGATGCTAAAGGTGCGTCCTTATCTCTGGGATTTACACCATTAATTAAAACATTGAAAACCATCTATAAGTTGTTTAACTTAGTTTTATGAAATGCTTGATTATTATACAAATGTATATTAAAGACTTAGCAAATCACATCATTATCTTGTTCAGATAAGGCAGAACCAAGGCAAACATTGCAAATGAGGAATGGAACACGGTTTAATTTTTTGTCTTCCCTGTATGCTTTCGCTATGCCGCCTGTCAAGTCCAAAGGACAGAGTTTATAACAATAATCCAAAAACCCAAAAATGATTCAGCGCTCTGTTAACAATCAGAGTACCCTTTAAACTCATTGTATATGCTAGTCGCAGAATTTATAGCAATGATGGACAGGGAGCTAAAATGGTGGCATGCATTTACAGAATTAAGAGGTGTGACAGTTTTGTATATTATTTTCACCCCTCACCCCAAGTACATATTTGTTAAATGTAAGGATAATATTAAAAATCCTGGGACTGACCGTTCCCCTTTAAGAACCTCTTTACTAATGGAATGTAACTTGCCCGTAAGGGTTACTACCGGGCATTGCCCAAGGCATTCTAATAGATCTGAGTTCATTTAAAACAATTACTGTATTTGGCAAAATAAGGATTAAGAGCCTGTGAGGCCCCAGGCAGGTTACCGGTTTATGGACCCCCCTTCATTCTTTACATAGGGATGGTTAATGGGGCCATGGACATTCATAGTTCCGGGGCCCCTGTCTGATCCCTGAGCTGTAGGTAGCTACCTAGGGTGACCTTAAACAATTTGGATTTTATCTCCATGGTTTGATGATCCATCCGCACTTGTGCATAAGTAAATCTTGCCCTGATCTTGGGATAAGCCACTTTGGAACATAAAAATGGAGTGAAATATGTCTTGTGTGACATTTTAAACATTTCCAGTATGAAGCAGAAAGCTGTTTGTTAGTACTTTTGGGATCAGTATGGGCCCCCAGGGGTGAGAATTAAGATGGCAGGTCCCTCCGCTGAGTGTCCCTGTCAATCATGTTTTGGTTGATCTCATAAATATTCGCAGTGTGATTGGCGGTAATAAAGAATGGTTAGGGGTATCTAGTGTGTTTACATGGTAAGAGAGAATGAATGGGTTTAGAAGGATTTCTCAGATAGGAAACTAGCAGCGTATAGTATAAAGGGGGGTTTGTGTGGGGACAGTGATGCCACTTTGTATCAAGCCACTTTCTAGTTTATAACTGAAATGGCACAATTACAGCAGACAGGAAGCTTTTTGTTCTGTCACACAAAATATTAACATATAGCGGTTACGGCATCAATTAATACATTTTATGTAATGAAAACCCTTCAAAATAATCATAGATCAAAGCCAATTTATATAAAATATACACAGTAACCCTTACTTGTTAGTTTCAAACTCAAAGTATTTAGATCTTTGTTCAATTTGCCAATCTCTCCTTGTGTGCATCTAATCCTGTATTCAGAAAAGAAATGTCTCTGATTTATTCAGTAAAAATGAAATTGAAATTGAAAAGCGACCTGCAAGTCTTAGGCAAAACTAAAGGATTTGGAAAAATTCCCAACTCTAGCCATTGTTTGGGTGTTTTAGCTAAAATGTAAACCTTTTGGATTTCAGCTTCCTGGTTTGATGATCCATCTACACTTGAGTATAAATATTAACGGAGCACTTTACAATAAACGGTTAAGTTACCGTTATATATTTCAATACAGCGATCACTTTGATACAAACTGCGGCCCTGTCTTGTATGGTAATTAGTCGCTGTGTTATCTTTTAATTCACACTGTGTGCATCATCCTTGAGACGAATTGTACAAAATGGTGTTCGTTGAATCATTCAGAACCCGTTCACACGGTCGCGAAATTGCTGCGACATATTGCAGTACAATCACCGTCTACATTTTGTATGCGAGTTTTCTCTGTCACTTGGGAAGATCACAATGTTTGTGAACGTGGTCTCATTGTACATGCTGTGCCGAATGGTGCAAGGCACACAGAGCAGCTATCGCTGAACGAAATAAAAGAGACAATCGAATTGTGTTTTAATCACCCCTGAGGTGGTTTCCCAGGATCTTATCTCTCTGGCGGCATTTAATCCTTTATACTGCTAGTTATGCATAAAATATCAAATCAGAGAGTTGTTGTGGTTTTTTTTTTTGTCTTTTTGTGTTTTGTTTTTTTAGCAATTACAGTTTTCAAAAAAATAGGTCTTGCTATTTGTCTGGCTATTTGCACAGTTTATATTTCCTATGTTCTATATGTCTATTTTTAAAATTATTTTTTTACTTTTCCTGTCCTCCTTTCCTACGCTGTGTGCCTTTCTCTTAAACTTTCTTTCTAATGTTCGCCAGTCATTTTTTCCTACACCTTAGTTATTTAATACAAGATATGCAAACAATCTTCACCACATCAGTAAAAGGATGAAGTGTGAACCACACAGACACACATAAAGTAGAATTATCACATCTCTACTAATTTTATTTACTGTTAAGAGGACACTGTTGGCACCATAACCACTTCATATCATTGAAGTGAATATGGTGCCTGGAATCCCCTGCGGCTGGTTTATGGCTCAGTGTTAAACCATTTTTTCAAAAGTTTAAAATTTAATGAGGGTTACCAGCAGCCGGCAGCACAGCCCACACTGGAGGTATAGCTAAGGTTAATTTACAATTTGCCATAGGCATACCACTCACATCATCAATGGAGAGCAGTGAAACTCTTGGCAAATCACTGCAGCCCATTGCTGCCCAGACTAATGAGCATTATCCTGAGCAGGAGTAAGTGGCAGGGCTGTAGACAACCAGGGACTGCAGTGTTAAACCATTTGAAAATAGCACTAGGGGACTCCAGGTACCATAACCACTTCAGTGAGATAAAGTGGTTATGTGCCCAGAGTGTCCTTTTAAATTGTAATCTGTATTACCAATATATACCACTTGTATGTGATGGATTGTATTAAAGTGTGGTAATGACCCATATCCCATTGATAAGCATGACAATTTTAGTTTCTTGTTAATCAAATTCTGTTTTTGCACAAAGTAATGCACATGCTCTGTAAATCGACATACTGTGCCAATCATCCAATCAATGCATCTCTATGGGGAGCATTCAGTGTCTCCATGCTGAGCGTAGAGATGTTGAACAATGGTCTTGGTCCTGCAATCTTTGCAGGATGGAATCCAGGAAGCCCAAGTCTCTTTAGTGACTCTCGGAGTGACAGCCACTTGAGCAATGTAAACACTGGGGTTTCTAAAAAAAGTTAGCATTTATAATGCTCAAAATGCGGTGCAGTTTATTGGTGCATGAACCACTACATTCAGCTGTAGTGGTTCTGGTGTCTATAGTGTACCTTTAAGGAAGGGGCATAAATGTGAGAGCAGCAAGGTATGGGGTTTAGACAAAGACAAGGATTCTAGGGAGAGTTAGGAGGGGAAACATAAAATAAATGTCAATCCTATGCCCTGGCTATGCCTGGGAAAAAAAATCAGACTGTGGCATATTTTGAAATATGTAAAAAGTGTACATTGCCGACATATAGCCGAACTAAAACATAGCTGACCTGATGAATTATTCCAGTTTGGCTATTTTTGCATAAAGTTGTGAAGTCTGAGTTGTCTTTGAATTTCTAATAATTCACACTTTACAAATGAAATCACTAAGGGTCAGTTTGATGATTCCAAATGATTCGGGACTAACAAAATACTGTGATTCATACAAAACAAATTCCTTAGACTTTAATGGTAACTTCTCTAGCTAAATAATTTGAGAAACCTTCTAACAAATGAGTTAAAGCATTAAATCGAGGGTTTAGTTGGTACCCTTACTAACTGACCTACTCCGTATGTTCAATGGCTTGAGTGAATTCTGCTTTGTAGATTTGTCTCCACAGTAAATGATTCCCCTCTATTGACCTCCAACTCAGCACAAATTCTAGTCCTATTGTCATTCTGGCCAAAACAACCTTTTGTGTTCCGATTGTCACCTCGTAGAGTTAATGATTAAATGATATGAGAGCTAAACTGTAACTTAGAATTCTTTTAAAAGATGTAATAACAGCATTGTATACATTTAATACCCAGGTCCTTTGACCTGATGTGCAACATGCAAGCACGCACACGGATTCTCAAATTCCTCTTTGTTTCACAATATGGGAAATGTACTAAACTGTTATAAAGCCTGTACAGAGAGGAAGTTGTATTCTGCAATAGCACACTTGGTTTTATTGGCATGTCGACAAGTCTGGTATGTGTATTTGCAAAATCCTTTTTCTTCAGCTATAAATTTGATGATCAAACTTACTAAATTTTTGTAAATTTCCAACGTTATCCAGGTCAAAAGACATTCTACACTAAACTGAATACTCGTGGAGAATTGTCAAGGGAATTCAAATAGCAGTCCAAGATAAGAAAACTGGAATCATTTTCCACTGTTGCTGTTGTTGGCCTAGGTAACTTTCGGCACTACATATGTTGTTGACTACATCTCGCCTGACGTTTTGCCAGCATTATGGGAGATGCAGTCCACAACATCTGATAGCCTGCCCTTTCACTCCTTGTCATTTCTCCATAATTTAAGTTTTAGTGATTAAAACCCACGTGGACACCTGCGTTAGCTGACCTGTACGTTGCTGCTGGATTCTCTCTTTTAAGAAGACTCCTACTAGTTATTTATTAATCAAACCAACCAACAGAAACTGATGATTTAAAGGGGAAATGTTACTCACCAGAATTATAAAAATTATATGTATTTTACCCCTACATATATATTTCTAAGATGCTCTTTCAACTCATTTAGTTTTATACTTTACAACTCTTTATCTTGCTCCGGTAATCTGCAAAATCTTTTAAAAGAAAACCCATTATCTCATCAAAAAGTTAACACAAATCTTATATGCATATCTATGTTTTACTCAATGGTGCAATTTCCGAAGAAGTGGCAGCTCCTCCTTAAGGGACCTAGACAGAATTGCCTATTAAGATCCCTATTCAGGGCAAGCATCATGGCAGGATATCCAGACATATGCTGAAAGCAAGCCGGTAGAGGTTAAGAGGGTCACCTCTGTCTAGCTCCAGTGGGAGGAAATTGACATGTCAATAATTGTATTAACACCATGTGGACAGCATTTGGATTATCACTTCCTCATTCCGTAACAGTCCCAGTATTAGACCTGGGTCAGGCATGCTATTTATTTCTCTAATATCCCACTTCAGGCACTTGATGCATTCCCTGTATAATCTCGAACATGTCTTTAGTGGCAAATACACTGCTGAGCATAAGGAAGGCATTTGTTTTGTGTTCTGGAATCTTTGAAAGTAGTGGCTAACCTTGGCAGTCTAGATGTTTCTGAACCACATATCCCAAGTTGCATAACCTTTTATAACTTTTGGATGTCAGGGTTAGCGATGAAATTAACTAGTGGCATTCTGCTGACTATGTGCTATCTTGTCTCTCTTGGTGGCTAAAAAGAGTTAGTAAATCGTGAACTTTCCCACAAATAACTTGTGCTGCATAAAAGTGAGTGTGTACACAGATGTCACAATTGTAGTTTTGTCTGTCGGATTCTCTTGGGAGGTTTCAAATAAGATGTATCTGACACAATGTTCTAATTTAAATGTGTTTGGTATAAAATCTGTTCTTGTGCTAACGACATGTGCGTCCAAACTTAATTTATTAACCTTTACTATACTTTAATTTTGGCCCCTCACTGCTCTTGCTTAACTGTATTGAAGAAGCAGGGCAGCAGTATGTGGGACTGCGGCAATGGTGGGAGGGAGGGACAGTATTGAGGAAAATAAACACACACACAAACACACACACTCTCTCTCTCTCTCACTTTTTTCAATCGACCCAGTCTTCCTACCCTTTGGAAACCTGGAGTCGATCCCCAGCCTGGGGTTCAGTGGGCTGCCGCAGTGCTCCTCTGAGGCAGCTCTGACCCAGATCCGCATTTCCTGTATAGCTCCCTCGTGCGCCCCGCAGTGGTGCCTAGGATTTGGAATATGACGTCACATTCCGACTCCCAGGACCTCTACAGGGCGCGCGAGGGAGATATATAGGAAATTCGGATCTGGAACAGGTAATGGTGCTCTGCCACGCTACAGGAAATGACTATCAGAATATAAGTGCTGTACACTTCTCTCCTGATGGCCAACTGGATATTTGCGCACCCCCCCGGGCCGGAGCGCCCTAAGGCGGCCTCCTGTGCCGCCTTATGTTAGTGCTGGCCCTGCACACACAATGACACACAAACTCAGACACAGTATGCCCACACTACTGTATGTACACTTGGACACCATATACACAGAATAACATGCTGCTATATAAAACCACACACTGCTGTACACACACACTCATTTAGATAGCATACACAAAAAGACACACACGGCTATACATAGTATACACACTCTGACACAGTATACACACTGCCACACACTCTGAATCAGTATACACACACCGCTATGCATACATAATACATGTGCAATCACACATAGTACACACAAAGTAAGTAGTGTTTTTTATTGATTAAGGGATTTACTCTATCTAAAAAAAATTCTCTTATGTTACTTCTTGAGATTTTATGTAACATCTGGTGATGTAACACACAATTAATTATGCAAATTAGTACGGCAGGTATTTTTTTTTTGCAAAGAAGGTGGACACCCTAAGACATTTCTGTGTAATTGTTATCCTGTTTGTTACATTTTTTAGCTGTGAGTGGTAAAAGTTTTAGAATCGTAAAGCACAAATAAAAAACGATGCTTTAACATGGAGGTTATCCACTAAATTAGGAATAGTGAAGAAACGTCAAGATTGCAATGAGCCTGCATAGCTTCATGGAAGGTGTTAATGTCACACTTTGAATGTGTGACTGAGGAAGTGCTGGGCTAGTGGCAAAGGCTGGGTTTTAGTTCCCCAAAATAAAGTTTGCAATACTCTGTTCCTGGAACCTCCGGGACACAGACCTTTGTTGGTAAACATAAAAAAAAGACACTTTAAACCCTTAGGGGCTTATTCACTTGATTAATTGAGCGTATGGGGCTGGGTTTATTCACTAAATACAGACTTGTAATGAGTTTATGCAGAGTATGATTAATTAAGCGTACGGGGCTCTAGAGAGGTTACGAGTTACCCCCCCGACACCCCTAAAGAAATCCATAATTCCAGGGCTCCTGTCTAACGCCCGGATCCAAGGCGTCCACCAAAGGTTGACTTATGGTTACTCCTGCTCTTAATTTACGTGTTGTGCTTCAAACTTAAAGACAATAGGGAAAATTGGAAAAAGACACCTCAAACTGATGTAATTCATGACAAATAATATTATTAAATGATTTTGCAACCAATGCATCACTTTTTATTTATAGAACTGGGAAAGAAATTTGAAGATTTTTTTTTTTTCCTATATCTGTTGAGTTTTCAATAGTTGCGGAGTCGTAGGCGAATCCCGGTACCTGCCACATTGTTACCATATAATGCCGAGGAGGACTGTTTTTGGTGTACTCTGTGCTATGATGCTGTATGTTCTGTAAGACCTATTGGAGGAGATAAAATTCACAGCAATGTGCTTTGTGTATCTTTGTGCCACAGAGCTCCACAGCAATAAAACTCACAGCAAAATGCTTTGTGTATCTTTGTGCCACAGAGCTCCACAGCAATAAAACTCACAGCAATGTGCTTTGTGTATCTTTGTGCCACAGAGCTCCACAGCAATAAAACTCACAGCAATGTGCTTTGTGTATCTTTGTGCCACAGAGCTCCACAGCAATAAAACTCACAGTAATGTGCTTTGTGTATCTTTGTGTCACAGAGCTCCACAGCAATAAAACTCACAGTAATGTGCTTTGTGTGTGAGTGAACAGAATTTTTAATATTGACATCTGCTGCAAAATAATCGAGAAGATCTGCTCGGGAGAGAGGGTTCTGGATCCTGTCTATGACGAGGCTTATGGGATGTCGAGATGAATGTCTTCAATTGCTTCTACGACATTTGAGTCTTGTTCAGCAAAGGGCAAGCTAGTAAAAGCTCTTATCCTTTCACTGATGACTGTCTCTTAAACAATATTTATGAGGTTTTTGTTTTGTTTTAACAGTGTGTGTGTGTGTGTGTGTGTCTTCTTACAATTGTAAAAGAAAATGGCTGTTTCTCCTTCCTCGGTTTTTCCCCATATTTAGTTTTTTTTTGTTTGTTTTTTCTGAAAAAAAATATTTTACTGTTTTGTTTACAGGACCCTGTCCACTGGGGCTTCCATCCTGCTTTCCGTATGACTAGGAGTCAGACTCTGCTGCCGTACATTGCGGTCCAGTTCAATAAGATGGGTTCGTTCCGCCGCCCTAGGCCACGGTTTATGAGTTCTCCTGCCCTTAGTGACTTGCCACGCTTCTATGCCAACAGACAGACTGCACAGCTGAACTCCAGCACTGTGTGGAACAGGTAAGAGATGGGATAACATTGAACCAAACATACATTTTAAAAGGAAGGAGTAGTATTGTATTGGTCATGGCTTCTATTGTTTGCTTAGAACTCTCTGTATCACCTAACTTCTCTGATCTAATCAGACACTCCTGATCTGTCCTGACACCCTGGATTTTATAGGAAAACAAGAATATAAGTCCCCAACATTTGCAGCTCTAACATGCTATGAAATATGTTTGTGCCAAGTAAAATCAATGATGGGCACATACCCCTTCTGTCCTTCTCCTGCTGTTTTCATGGTTTCTATTGATGCAAGCCATTTCTAGCGTGGGGCAAACCAGGCTGCATGGAGTGCTACCGGTGTTCATGCACCGGTAGGGAGGTAAAAAAAATGTCCATGACAAGCACTGTGCCTTCCTCTCTATAACAATGGAGCCAGTGGTCTGCTCCTCCTGCAAATGGAGATTGCTGCTCTATTGACCCTAGCACTCACTGAATGGGTCATTCAGAAAGTGCAGCCCAAATGCTCCACCCATATAGGTCAGCTTCCACAGAAACACCAGGAATTTTACCCTCTCTCTACCCAGGTAAGCAGGAGGGGGACAAAATGCACAAAACACACAAACAAACACACACACCTGGACGGCACTGGATGACTGAGAGTAAACATTGGGAGGTCAAGAAGGGGAATTATAAAACTTTGGAATTTGATAAGGGAGAGAGGTGTGCATTCTAGAATGTCACCCTGGGATTTGGTTTCTCTAAATACTGCCCCCTGTTCATGTTGTACACTCATCACGCTTTGATGGGATTAATACTTATTCTCCGGACATCTTTACTAATTCCCAGGCCAGCTTTGTGATATAATTTATATATGATGATTATTAATATTATTATAATTATATAGCACCAACAAATTCCGTAGCGCTGTGCAATGGGTAGGCTAACAAACATGCAATTGTAACCAGACAAGTTTGACGCACAGGAACAGAGGGGCTGAGGGCCCTGCTCAATGAGCTTACATGCAAGAGGGATAAAGTGACACAAAAGGTAAGGGAAGTATTATATATAGGCATACATTTTAATTATGTAGCACGTCACTAACATCAGCAGTTGCTTATGAATTGTTGCCCAGAGTCCTGCAGTATCTCCCGTCTCCATCCCATCATATCTCCCTGTTGATGGTGGAATCAGGCGTTTACGCATATTCTGGATGATCAGACCCTCCCCGGCTGCCTTGTCATGTTGTGTGTGTGAAGGTGACCCAGAAACTGTCATTTCTCTGCATGCCCACACAACAGGCACACTTTATGCAAAGCACCCTGGGAAAGCATTGCGATAAAATGTTTGTGCAATAGACCATGCACAGGCCTCTGCAGCTCGCTCTTTGCAACCTATCTGCCTACATCGACACACGGTTACAAACAGAAAACATGTTTATAACCACAATATACATATAACTCAGTTGTTGTTGTTTTTTTAAGCAAATGCGTTTGTATTGAATTGTATCAATTTGTTTGTATTCACTTAATTGAATTGTGGAAGAATTAACAAAATAATATTTTGGGTTTAAATAGCTGAACTACGGGAAAAAAGGTGATTTTTTTGTTTGTTTTGCAGTCCTACATTCAAATTAACTTCTTGTTTGTTTTACTGTTTTTCTGTATATGATTCTTGTGCTCTATACACGTATAGTGTGTGTGATACATTGACTGACTAGTTGGCTACTGCAATGAGAGATGTGACTGGCTAACCATATTCTGTTTTTCTTTCTCAGTGTCCAGTCGGCCGTAATAAATGTGTTTAAAGGTGGCGGGCTCCAGTCAAATGAACTGTACTCTTTGAACGAAAGCGTCAGGTATGGAATGTTGTGCGCAAGCTGAATTGGGGAATGTCATCGTTTTTATTTTATGTAACGGGGAATCGTGATCCAAATTGTAAATAATCCTCATTCCTTTTAAATACCTCCTACTCTAGACTAGGAAGCCAGTATTGTTATGCCAGTTTAGTAAATCTCTGAGACTTGATAAAGGCTCACAGAAGAGCCGAAACGTCTCCACTTTTTTGCTCCTAATAAAAGACTGGCTTTTAGAAGAAACCTCATGTGTGCCGGCTATTTATCTTTTTCTTCCAGTTTAGTAAATCTCATTAGTCAATAATGTTTGGTTCTTTTGACAAGTATCTGTGTTTCTATTGATTTATTTCAGTTTATTTTGTTCCCTAAATCTGGCATTGTGGAGAAATGACAAAATGACAAAGGCTTCTAATATTAGTCCAAATTTGTAGAACTGGAAGCATAAACATGTGCAAGGGTTGTGCCCCTGCACACCCGAGTGCTGATATAAACAGGGCAGCCCTCCAAAATTGTACTGACTATAATAAGTATAATAAAAAGGAACATCTACCATCAAACATACAAGGTATAACTTCTACACAAATAAAATAAACAAGTTATGTATATGTTTCAAATTCATATGTTTGTAGTTTTATTACACACACAAGGAATAATAATTATAGTAAACACAAGTTTTGTATTATTATTAATTATATGATTGTTATTCTATTTACTATACTGTTATATATGCTATTATACTATTACTGATGCCGCCAAGTAAAAACTATAAAAATGATGTATTTTAATAATAACTAGTTTATAATACTGTAATGCAGAGCCAACTTATCCCCCGTCCTTTGTTTAGGTGGACACTTTTGTGTGCATTTGTGTAAGCTTGATTTATTTTGTAGAAACAAATTGCGACTATTACTATATATATCTGGACACAACACACAAGTATAAAATATGAAATTTTTATAGTTAAGTTTAGATATTGTTCTCTGGGTGCGCTTCCTAATGCAATGACTGGAAGCGTAGGTAAGTTGGAGAACTTTTCCAAATTGGCTCTTTTGTCCTACCTTCGTCGGATCTCCATACAGTTGATTTAGTAAATAACTACAAAGGTGATTCTTTTTAAAAAAAAGTGTTTATTTTTTTTTTATTGCATACATTCTACCTCATTCTTCCGCCATTTGCAACATTAAGGAAACCAATTAATTAGCCAAGGCGATTCCTTTGGAATATATTCTTGATTAATTAAATAGGCAGTGGGCACTTTAAGCACCATAACCACTACAAGAGAGTCTGGACGTCATTCCAATTTTTTAGATTTGGATAGCTTTTCTGTATAACCAGCAAAGGAAAGAGGTGACTGGCACACTGAACATGATTGTGGAAATCACTGTAGGACACAGTTTTTTTTTTTTGTTTTTTTTTTTTAAAAGACTTTCATTTCATGTTATTCTCATTACAATGTAAAACAAAATTTCCTTGTTAGAAGCACGGAAATAGAGCACCTTGAAAAGCACTTATTTTTCTTTAAGTTAGTGGCTGTTAAACAATATGCACCTTGTGGGACAGCCCTGTACCACGCATTTTCTATAAACATGCACTGTACATTATTTGGATACTGTGGCGTACCTCAAAGGAATCTTTACGCATGCATATTTTATTTTACGAACTACCCTGTTATATATATATATTTTTTTTTCTTTTAGACATTTACTAAAAAGTGAACTTGGATCCTTTATCACGGAATATTTTCAGGTAAATAAAATTTAACAAAAACATTTAATTGTTGTATGTTGCTAAAGAAAATGCAAAGTCTGCTGTTTGCATTAAGTGCTGAAATGCATTTAGATGTGGTTTGTGACCTGTAATTTCTCGTGATAAGCTGTCGTCTCATTTTCTTGGTTCCGAGACGCGCGGTTTAGCAATTATGATTTAAATGCTGGAAGACCTGTTACATCAATATTAACACCTGTGGATTCTTGCAATAGCTGAATTCTGGATGTTATCAAACCCTTAAAGGCACAGTTTGATGTTTTCGCTATTTAATTTTTATTTATTTGAGTATTAGATGTGGTGTGTTATAGGATACTGTATCGTTGGCGGGGGATGTAATTGTTGCATAATAATTATTACTAGAGCTCGGTTATCTACAGAATATGTTTGCGTTTGGCTCCCAGACCTATGTAGGTTCTAAATTGTTTTCATGCTGTTGGGCAGTACATGAAGAGTGCTACCCAACAGTTTGTAAAATTGTAAAATTCATCAGACGTGGTCTGGTAATGGTAAGTTTCCTTTTTAAAGTATATAAACGCTTTACACATATAGAATTGAAAACCCAAGAAAAACACGGTGGATGTGGTAACTCTATGTGCGTGACAAGGATACAATAGGATAACATTTTTCTTTTGAGGCAAACCAACAAGCAGAGAAGCAATTCACAAATAGAAGTGGTCACCTGCAATCGTGAACTAAAGAGAGATTTTTTTTCAACATTTGAGAAGAGGGGAGTAAGAGGAGAAATTGGAACAATGTTTCTGTTCTCGTTAATTGAATTGTGTGCCCTGGCTGTGCCTTGACTGAACTTGGGATGTTACCTGCTGAGTCTTTAATGGACATTTTAATAGAATTTAGAACATTAGGTGAAGAGGATAACACAAGTTACAAGTGATTTTCCATATGATATTTTTTGGTGTAATTTTCAGAGAACTGACAGTTCAGCTTTAACTAATCTAGATCGTTGTCTTGCGACCCATCCTTGATATGATTTCTGTCTACCTACACTTTTCCTGTGCTGCACATCACCCTGAAGACATGATGTGTGACAAGGGGAAAAGGATGGATCTAGTACCCCTGCCTGATATTCCCAAACTAGGCGAGTTTGGTTAATTTCTGGGAAAATTTATCCTGTCTTTAACTTTCTTCCCTATACAAAAAAAAAAAAAAAGATTAAAATGTAGATTTTTTCCTACCACAGCGTAGTAACAACCCGTTCGTTTCATTCAGCTGAGCAAACAAAATTAAACAAATCTACAGCTTTGAAAAACAATCAAGGTTATTTACGAAAGTGTAAATTGGCAGGAATTCAAAACATTTTTTTTTTTACATTTTAGACCGATGTAACGGAATTGGAAAAAATGAAAATCTCTAATTATTTTCACTTCGATGTTTTTCCTTCTAAAATATTTTACATTTTAGTAAATATCACTGTATTTATTCCATGGTAACTGACACTGATTTTAAACTGACATGTGCCTTATTTGTGGGTAGTTTGCAAATGATCCTATTTATGAATTCGTGCTGGGGATTCCCCTTTAATTCATTTATTTATTTTTGCATTTCCCCTTCCCACTTCTGTTTTTAGTGTTTGTTTTACAAGGTTGAGTATCTGCCTCCTCTTCGTATTGTGTATTTTAGGTGTACTTTTTTTTTCTAGTGAAACTTTTATATAGCCCTCCCTAAATACTCGTACTAAATATATGTGGTTTTCTGAGAATATTTCAGAATTTGCAGTTTTAATAACCAAATGTTTCACTAACGGTTAGCCAGTCATAACAGGTTTCTCCAAAACATTATACTTTAGCGAAAGCCAAGCCTCCCACTCAGTCTAGTTCCCCTCAATCTACCCTTTTAACTCCTTCAAGTCTCCCACTCAGAATACAGTCATTTTTCTCCTAAACCGTTGTTTAACACTTTCAAGTCTCACAATCTGAATACAGCTCTGGTCCTTTCCATTGCTGTTGTTTTACTATGATTCCAAATCCACCAGGACATATTTAACTTCTATTTAATTTAATGACAGACAACAGATGAAGAGTACTGACCGGTAGACTTCATATGCTGCTGGGTGATCCATTAACTAATCGAAGGGACATTCTAGAGCAGTGATGGCGAACCTATGGCACGCGTGCCACAGGTGGCACGCCGGGCCCTCTCTGTGGGCATGCGGCCATAAGTCGCCGGGAGAGGGGGCCGCTGACTGTCTGCAGAGTAGGCACCTGCCTACTCTGCTTCCGTGTCGGGAGGCAAGGGAAGGGCTCTGGAAAGCAGCTCTCCTGTCCTCCCGCGCGATGCTGTGTGGAGCGTTGCCGCACGTTACCATGGCAACACTCCACACAGCATCGCGTGGGAGGACAGGAGAGCTGCTTCACACAAACCTAGTTACCACCACCGGACCACCAAGGATAGCTGTTTGTGTCCCCCCACTCCTTCACCAAAGGTAAGAGGAAGGGAGGGGGGATACAGAATTAATAAATATATATATATATTTTTTTTAATGTTCCCCTACCCCCCACACACAGCACACTACCCCCCCCACATAGCACACTACCCCCCCACACACAGAACCCTACCCCCGCACACACATCACCCTACCCCCCACACACAGCACCCCTTCCCCCCACACAGCACCCCTACCCCGCACACACACAGCACCCGCACACACTGCATCCCTCACACACACACACAGCACCTCTCAGACGGACAGACACACACAGCACCTCTCAGACAGACACACACACAGCACCTCTCAGACACACACATCACCCCTCACACACACACTGCACCCCTCAGACAGACACACACACACACACACACACACACACACACACAACACCTCTCAGACAGACAGACACACACAGCACCTCTCAGACAGACAGACACACACACAGCACCTCTCAGACAGACACACACACAGCACCCGTCACACACACAGCACTCCACACCCTTACACACAAACACATACACTGCACCCCTTAATGCAGTCTGTCTGTGTGTGTGTGTGTATTCAGCAGTTTGTGTGTGTGTATTCAGCAGTCTGTGTGTGTGTGTATTCAGCAGACTGTTTGTGTGTGTATTCAGCAGACTGTGTGTGTGTGTACTCAACAGACTGTGTGTGTGTGTGTGTACTCAGCAGAGTGTGTGTGTACCCAGCAGACAGTGTGTGTGTGTGTGTGTGAGTACTCAGCAGTCTGTGTGTACTCAGCAGTCTGTCTGTATGTGTATTTAGCGGCCGGGGTGTGAATGTGTTCAGCAGTCTGTGTGTGTATGTATTGCATTTGTTGGAGATATTAATAAATATAAGCTTAATTTTATCGATTTATATCATTATTTAAAATTTGTATCATTGAACTCTCTGTGTTCTTCTTTTAAAACAAAGTTGTTAATTAGTTCGGACAACTGTACGAGTTGTTTTTTCTAAACTTAAACCTCAGTATTCAGGTTTAATTGCTGTGTTGGCACTTTGAGGCATGTATTGCGGTTTGGGCACTCGGGCTCAAAAAGGTTTGCCATCACTGTTCTAGAGATTCTGATTTCTTTCCTCCAGTATATGAATGATGTCTACTGCAGGATAGCACTGTCCGTTACCATGAAGTGATATATATCTAGAAATATATGGTGTTTCAAGCGCCACAATTTATTTCCCCAGTTGCTAAGTTTGGGATATTGAGGCCCTGTCAGGCAGTAAAGGGTACCGTAGGGGGTGAGTCATTGAACCCCAGGCCACTGCTGGTTTTGGTCCATGGAATGGACGGCTAGGATACACCATAACTCTTTTTTTTATTTTTTTATTTACAGAATCAGTTACTATCAAAAGGTCTTGTGTTAATGGAAGAGAAGGTGAAGTTGTATGAAGGTGAGACATTGGATTTACACAGGAAATTGTATTGTAGTAATGTACACTGTTGTCAAGAAATTGAAATCAAATGTGTGTCCTTTTGAATTCAAAATAAATATGTAGATAATTGTGACCTCATCACATGACCTTATATGTCCACAGACAAGTAGAATTCAAACAGTACCATTTAACATATATGCCACATGATTTTATTTATTTACCAATTCTCATATGGTACCGTTAGGGGGCACATTTTGAGGCACAGTGCCAACAAATTAGGGGGTAGCGATCGCTAAACATTTCTACCTATGGATTCATACTTCCCAAGTGTCCCTATTTATGAGGGACAGTCTCAATTTTGGACCCAAATCCATCTGTCGCTCTTTTCAGTCCTAATGTCCCTGTTTTCTAGGAGCTCCATATTGTTGTATTTCAGTGTATCACAGAGCTCCACAGCAATAATACTCCCAGTAATGTGTCTATAAACTACAATAAGTGTGTTTAGAAATCAGTCTGTGTAAATAAGATACATTGCTCTTCTAAATTACATTTTTGTTACATAAATTGTTATTAATACATCACCTAAAATGTTTTAGAACAGCTCTGCCCCTTAAAGGACCACTCTAGGCACCCAGACCACTTCAGCTTAATGAAGTGGTCTGGGTGCCAGGTCCAGCTAGGGTTAACCCATTTTTTCATAAACATAGCAGTTTCAGAGAAACTGCTATGTTTATGAATGGGTTAAGCCTTCCCCCAATCCTCTAGTGGCTGTCTCATTGACAGCCACTAGAGGCGCTTGCGTGCTTCTCACTGTGATTTTCACAGTGAGAGCGCAAGCGTCCATAGGAAAGCATTGTAAATGCTTTCCTATGGACGGCTGAATGCGCGCGCAGCTCTTGCCGCGCGTGCGCATTCAGCCAATGGGAGGAACAGAGGAGGATTGGAGGAGGAGAGCTCCCCGCCCAGCGCTGGAAAAAGGTAAGTTTTTACCCCTTTCCCCCCCAGAGCCGGGCGGGAGGGGGACCCTGAGGGTGGGGGCACCCTCAGGGCACTATAGTGCCAGGAAAACGAGTATGTTTTCCTGGCACTGTAGTGGTCCTTTAAACTCGTTTTCCTGGCACTATAGTGCCCTGAGGGTGCCCTCACCCTCAGGGCCCCCTTCCCGCCGGGCTCTAGGGGGTGGAAGGGCTAACATTTACCTCTTTCTCCAGGGAACTCTCTTCCTTCTCTCCTCCTCCATATCGCCGTCATCGGCTGAATGCACATGCGCGGAAGGAGCCGAGCACGCATTCAGCCAGTCCATAGGAAAGCATTCTCAACGCTGGCATCTTCTCACTGTAAAAATCACTGTGAGAAGCGTGGAAGCGCCTCTAGCGGCTGTCAATGAGACAGCTACTGGAGGCTGGATTAACCCTATTATAAACATAGCAGTTTCTCTGAAACTGCTATTTTTATAGAAGAAAGGGTTAAGCCTAGCTGGACCTGGCACTCAGACCACTTCATTAAGCTGAAGTGGTCTGGGTGCCTATAGTGGTCCTTTAAGAACAGTTTGAAAACTTACCTGGGGTCTGCTGGGATATGGGACTGTAGTGTGTGAGTGGTGCAATGTGTGAGGGGGGCAGTGTGTGTGTGTGGGAGGGGTGTAGTGTGTGAATGTGTGTATGGGGAGGCAGTGTGTAAGTGTGTGTGTGTGGCAATGTGTGTATGTGTGTGGGGGGGGCAATGTGTGTATGGGGCAATGTTTGTATGGGGGGCTGTGTGTGTGTATGGGTGGGCAGTGTATGTGGGGGCAGTGTATGTGGGGGCAGTGCATGTGTGTGTGAGGCAGTGTATGTGGAGGCAGTGTATGTGTGTGTATGTGGGGCAGTGTATGTGTGTGTGTATGTGGGGGCAGTTTATGTGTGTGTATGTGGGGGCAGGTTATATGTGTGAGTGTGTGGGGAAGTGTATGTTGAGGCAGTGTATGTTTGGGGAGCAGCTTATGTTTGTGGGCAGTGTATGTGGGGGGGGGGGGTAGTGTGTAAATGTGTGGTGAGCAGGGTAGGGAGGCTTTTTTATTAAAAAATGTTTTTAATAAAAATAAATAAATATATGTCCCCCCTCCCTTCTTACCTTTACTGAGGGAGGAAGGGGGACATTTCTCGATCCCTGGTGGTCACAGTGGGGAGAGTGAACTCTAGCCTGCAGCTCCAGGGCTAGAGTTCACTCTCGCGAGATCCGGAGCGTTGCCATGATAACCGCGGCAACGCTCCGTGCTTGCGAGAGAAGAACCTGGAGGAGCTGCAGGCTGAGCTCCCGGGTCCTCTCTCCCTCCCTGCCGGCTGCCAGCACAGTGCCTGCGGACCAGGGAGGGAGATCACTGATCTGCCTTCCGGTCTGTGAAGGCACATTGCAGGGCTGGCGCTTGGACAGTGCCAGCCCTGCATTAGCCGGCAGAGGAGACCCTCGGGGGGGGCAGTTCCCCTGTTGCCCCCCCCCCGACGGTTCCGCCAGTGTGTCAGGCTGACTGCCAATCATGCAGGATGACTAACCAAGGGCATACTGTGCAGACAGCATGCTAAGCTTCGCATAAATGCGTCTAATGATGCGCTCACGCTACGCTTTCTAAGGACTGTTCAATAGCACTCGCTGATCCTCTCCTCTATCTTCTTACTAGCAGGCAGGGGCTCCTGTAATATAGTCTGGGACAGAGAAAAGGTGGATCTAGTGAGTGTAGAAGAAAGTGAACATGCCACAGTGATAGAGAGACTGAAGCAGCAAGAGCATTTGCATAATGCGCAAACTCATCTTTACATTAATTTCATTGTCAGCAAGTCCACACCGATTTTGTTCCCCTACATCCCTCTTAAGTTTCCATACTTTAGCAAGAGCAAGTGAGGAGTAGTAAAAAAAAATAAAGATTTTCTTTAAATCAATGGGCTTATTCCATAGGCATGGGCCTGGAGCTGCAGTTCCATCAGCCCCTACGTTAATCTGGCCCTGAGATTAGAGCTGTGAAGATTGCGAGGCACTGCTAACAGCAAACAGCTGCAGTCCGTTCTCTAGTTTGGCTGTATTGACCTCAAAATTGCAATTTTCTTGTCGGTTTCACAAAAGACACATTTTAGTGAATAAATCCCACACACCATGATCAATAACATTTATCAACATCTAACATCCTCAGAGCCTCATTTCTTATAAGGGATCACTGAATTAATGTCATGTTCTTTTACATAACACCTCCACATAACACAGCGCTGTATGATCGATAATGCATCGTCAAAGTGATTGACAGGAAGATGATTTTTTTTTGTTTGTTACATGACTATCTAGTCCGCATTCATACGGTGAGTCACTAGGAAGACAAAGCTATAATCCCCTATTTTACACCATCCCTGCTCTAAAGGTGACAGCCCAATGCTATTTTAGAAATTGGAATCTGCTATATTAGACCTGATGGATTTAAAAAAATGTTTCTAAAAAGACGACAAATAATTGCTTCCTAAAGAGTGTTCCCTATCCTGGATCTAGGTGAAAACCGAATTGCCATCATATCCGAGCTATGGGACCATTTCTTTACTGAAATCTTGCCTACGCTTCAGGCTATATTTTATCCTGTCCAGGTGAGAGACACGGCAAAACCTTTTAAATATTTGATGTTTTTACTGATGTGGGGGGAGGTCATTTTGTGGAATTTGTGTTCGACCTTTTACTTGGTATTTCATCTTGGAAATGAAAATGTGAGGTCTCTAGCGACACATTTACCCTACACAGATTTTCTAAGATGTAGTTAATGTGTAATTAGTCTTTAATGCAAACCGCTTGAAATTGCCCTCATTAATTCCTTTGTGTGTGACGACGTGGGTTCCTAATTAACGTTAAATCAGGTTTTCTTCTTTTGGCTTCAGTTTAATAGAAGCATAAATCCTGTTATGAATGAATATTTTGCAGTGGTAGTAAACATTAGTGGAACAACACATGGAATTGGCGTGTTAAACCTCTTACGACACAGGGAGTTGAAATTAGCATCTAAGATAAGATGACTACATTTTGTCTTGAAGGCAGGGCGGTTACTTAAAGAGAACTCATACCTAACAGGTTGTTATTGACTTTAATGTTTCTTTGAAATATGATTCATAACCCACTTCCATTATACTAGCTCACAGTCACTGTAGGTGAGGTGACTTATGCAGGTTTTTCTCACACTCTGTGGTTTATGCCCATGGAGAATGCATGCTCTAACTAGGAACTATCTCTTACCAGCATTTTCTAATATTATGTATGTAACAAATATGTATCTGTCAGGTTTGAAAAATAAAATTAAGTGTAGAAACCTCGGCGCTGTATTAACTCTCTATTCTGTAACTAAGCACATCCATATTGCCTTCCTGTCAGTCATTGTTATAAGCCCTATCCTTTGCACCCATCAGACCACACAGAGAGCGCGTAGAGAGAGGATCCAACTGGATTGGGATCTCAATTTAATATAAATTTAAAAGAAAACTGTGTATCTTAAGAAGAAAAAAAGGCCAACAGAACTTATTGGTGGTTTTCAATGTTTTATTCATTAGTGTGATTTATTAAGAAGTGAGGGTGCAACTTAAACCCTTCTGGTGTTATGGGTTGCTCATAAAGTCGTTTTTTTTTTGTTTTTTTTTTATTGGAGAACCTAACCAATGTAAAATATGTGGAAAATAAAATTTCACTTATCGGTTACCTTTCCTGAGGATTCACCAGAGGATTTTTTTAGAAGAAATACGTTTTAAGTCGAATCAAATTGAGGTTGTGTAAGGAAATTAAAAACAAATATCTGGCTGACTAAATAAAAAATAATTGATGAGAAAAAGAGATGAAAGAATGCCCAATTTGTTAGGTATAGTAAAATCTGCTGAATATTGTTTTAGGGCCAAGAGCTTACCATCCGTCAGATTGCTCTTCTTGGCTTCCGAGACTCTGTCCTGTTAAAAGTGGGTCTGGATAAGACGTTGTCGAACAACAGTTCTCCGATACCACCATCCTTTCTTCAAATGCTGCTCGTCCTTCAGGTACAATGGCGTGTGTATTTGGAGACTATAACCGTTTGTACAACTTCTTCCATAAATGTTTAACTCAAAGGTGCCACTTCTTGTTTTAAAAGTCTCTGTAAAAATTGATATGTTGTCATGTATATGGGAACCAATGTAAAGGGCTTCTCTTTAGATAATAAAGGAATACCCGGTTGAACTTCAAGTTTACTACAAGCTTCAGGCTCGGAGAGGGAGATAATGTAGAGTACAATGAACTTCTAAACATGCCGTCTGGAACAGAGCAGAAGACTTCAGTTGTCACATTTTGTTCTCTTACAGGGTGTTCATGAACCTTCTGGTCCAAGTGAAGGTTATCTAAAGCTGGAGGAACTTGTGAAAATGGTTGTATCCCCTTACTTGGCAGCATACGGAGACAGGACCTACAGCAATGGTGGTGGCTCCTGTTTTCTTGGTAAGGCCATGCTTATATGGTATCACTGATTAGCTGCTTTGCAGATTTGTTTGAGCACACCAGTTTGGTGGTGAAACTCAGTGAGAGAGTGGACAAGTATCAATAAAAATGCTGTTTCCAAGGCAGCTAGGTTCAGCATTTAACCCACTCTTTAATATATGTATGCAAAAAGAAGCCAGTAAGACTAGACTATATAATGTGTTGTGACAGTCACTAGTCTGCATTTGTCCCTATAATGTTCTTTTCCATCCTGAAATGTTGGATATTATCTTTTGAAACACAATTAAAAATTTTTTAATGTGTTAACTGTTCCTTTAATCTCCCCTCCCCTTCCATGTTGCCCCCTCATTTAAATTGTCTGTTAGGGTCTTATCAATGTATGATTGTGTGCAGCCATTTTGAAGTGTGTACTTATGTTAGAGATTTCAACATCTCAATTTATAAATTACATTTCAATAGCTCTCTGAAAGATCTCCTTTACAGTTTCCTTTTTAAAAAAAAAAAAAAAAGCTCTGTCGCCCTATATTTACCTTGCCATTTTTAAGGTTTCACAGTCTATATTCCCTTCTTGAAACAAGAAATTATTTGTGTTGTTTTTAAACGTTCCGTCACTAATAACTGTATTTTATTTTGTGATCCCTTATTCCACTCTTATCTTGACACCTGTTATTTCTCATATTGCTCACGTCCTTTGCTTCCCCACGTAACTGACCTTGGTAGACAATCAAAATTGCATTTTCGATCTATTATTTGAAGTTCAAAACCCGAAAACAAGATATCACACACTTTATAAATCATTGTTTCTTAATCCCTTAAGGACCAAACTTCTAGAATAAAAGGGAATCATGACATGTTACACATTGGATGCCTTGGAAATTGTGTAGTCTCTATAGAGTCAGAAGCATGGGTACAGTGAAAGATATGGTTAACAGTCCTAATCCATTTCTAAATTAAAAAATAAAATAAAAGACCAGTCTAACATGATCTAGGAAAGCAGTATGGAACATTCTGGTCAAAACCATTGAGAATGTGGCTCTAGACCTTACCCATAATAGTATAGAACAAACCCTGTTTTTGCTTGAAAGTGTGTGGAGGTGGGAAGGCAAGACCACACCATTTATTTTCTAATGTGGCTTACTCAGTCGCATTTATTTGAACATTTTCATGTTATTTTCTTTTTGCACCTTTTCCATGTCTTTATCCCTTTGCATTAGGGTAAGAACTGCTCTATTACCTATTTTAATGAAAATCTTAAACCCCAAACATGTACGTCTGTGGACAAAAGCTGGAGAAATAGATTTCACGAAGTTCAAACCACTTTTGAATACTGTCACCCATTTGAATTGGAGCCATAGCCCCTCAGGCTAAATAGGCACATTATATTAAACATTGTGGTATTAATTAGTAACAAATAATAGCTGTGCTCGCTTTTGTCGTAGATTCCAGAGCTGAAATAGGACAAGGGGCACAGAAAAGGTGTGTGGGAAAAAGACAGGAGGTCAGGGAGGGAATCTTAATGTGTGCTCAGCTGTTCGTTCAATGTCACAGTTGAATTCATGTCGGACCTTCAGGGCATCTAAGCTAGAATTTCTCAAATAGTTTGCTTAACCACTTAAGGACCAGTAACAACCTATGCCATCTCCACATCACGGCAAGTTCTGGGTAATTTCCGCCAGCAATTCTAAGGAACAGGCGCAAACCAGAATACCGAGTGCACCTAAGGGCTACAGTTTTAATGAAGAACACCAAAAAACACAATCGCTTACGGGAGACAACCCTTTCTCAACGGACAGTGCCTGGTTTGCGCATGTTCTATTTTTCTGGCTATTAGATGTATATTTACCACTATAAGAGAACCGTAGTGGTTTTGAAACAGCTGCACAGAAGTGAAACATTTTTTCCAGCTTTTTGGTGATTCTGTATTATCTGATGCCTATACTTTTATTTGTTTTAGCTATTCTAGGGAGTTCTTTTTTTTTTTTTTTTATTTGACAATTTTTATTGTTTTGTCATTTCTTGGAATGTAGAGGGTACAGAATGAAGAAAGGGAGGGGTAGGGGGGGGGGAGAGGAGGTTGCAATTCCATAAATAGGTTGTGCAAGGTAGTAAATACCGACATTGTCTTTAGGCACAATTGTGAAGTTACATACAATAGTTATTGAGCAGTACCAGACAGTTGACATTCGTACCTTGGCCCTGGCATATATACCTTTCCCTTACCCTTGAGATAGATGTGAGAGCCAGAGCCTAACCTTATGTCTCAATAGTGGTGTTTGACATGCTTCCTCATGGGAGACCTGATGTTTGCTTGGGGTTGCCTGGGGTTTAGTCAGGTAACTAAGTAGGTTTGCCTTTTTATCTCTAGCTTTGTTTGGAGTGGTCGTACTCCTTGTGATCAGTTAGTCTGACTTTCTCGTATGATGGGATAATCTTTGATGGGTATTCTAATCTTTGAGGGTTATTTTATAGGTTTAGGTCCGTCGTGAGGCCAGCTCACGTTTGTAGGTTCTCTGTTGTACCACCTTTGTATGTTTCCCATTTTTCCCATGCTATTTCCCAGTGCCTCCGGCGCTTATTATGTGGTTTGTTGGGAGGCGTGTTTTGCCGTCTCATTATGGTTTCGAAATGGCCCGCCTGGCTAATTTGCTGCATGCACATGGAGATAGAGGGTACAGTCTGTGATAGCCAGTTTTGTGCTAGGGCACCCAGGGCTGCTATATTGATATGGAAGATTAGATACCTGTCTGGCTTAGGTAGCGCTTTAGGAATATTGAAAAGCACGTAATGTTCTAAATTATGAGGCAGGGAGCATCCCGTGCTATTTGTAATGAGTTTGGATATGTCTTTCCAGTATTGTTGTAGGCTGGGGCACGTCCACCATATGTGTGCCATGGTCCCTGTGCCTGATTTGCACCTCCAGCATTGTGTCGGAAGAGATTGGTTGTATTTGTGTAGTCGTATGGGCGTGAGATACCATCTGTATAATAGTTTTTTGGCTAACTCTATATGTCTTGAGCATAAAGAAAAGTTTTTGGGAGTGAGGATCATATATTCCCATTCTTGTTCAGTAAATTTTTTGTGGGTCTCTGTTTCCCATGCTTTGATAAATTTATGTTCATGCAGTTTGTGTTTTGTGGGTAGTGTTGCGTATATGGAGGATATGAGTTTCTGGGGTGGTGTGGGGTTAGTATACATTTCCTCGAATGCTGTCATCCTTTGTGTCTGCGTATTGATTGTTTTCTCCTGGATTTGTATGCGTAGCCATGAATCTAATTGGCGGTATGAATAGTGTGCTACTATCGGTAGCTTATGGGAGTTTTGTAATGAGGCAAAGGTCGTTAGGCCCGTGTTGGTGATTATCTGATGTAGGAATTGTATACCATGTCTTTCCCATATTCTGTAGTTAAAATCCGGGATAATGAGCGCTAGTGACTTAAGTGGCATGGCTTTAGAGATTGTTGAATTATTTGTTAGGGTGGGTCGGGCTCCATCCCATATTTTTAGTGACAGTGTTGTGGTTGGTAGGCAGTCTTGCAGTTGCGGTCGGTTAGGTTTTGGTATCCACACTAAATTATCAGTGCTAGCATTATCAGCCCATTCTGCTTCTAAGTGTTTCCATTGAGGTGCTTGTGTACCTGGCCGTGCTTGAATGATACTACTTAGTATGGTTGCGTGATAGTATTGTCTCAGGTTTGGCATATTCATACCCCCTTCTTTGAGCGGTAATTGCAATACCTTTAGGGCTATACGTGCCTTTTTGTCATTCCATACAAATCTGGTTATCCAGCGTTGGATTGTGGCTAAATACGTGGCAGGTATATGAATCATTAGTGATCTGAATAGGTATAACAACTTGGGGAGAATTATCATCTTGATCGCTGCCATGCGACCCGACCAGGATATGAATGATGTTTTCCATTCTTGTAGTTGTTTTTTTATTTCTATACTGAGTTTGCCATAATTGGCATTGAATAGTGCGGTGTGCGATTTTGTAAAACGTATTCCTAGAAATGTGATGTAGTCAGTTCTCCAGTCGTATGAGTAGGTGTTTTTTAATTTATGGGTGATATCTGGGGGGAGTATTCTAGGGAGTTCTAATGCCAGACCAGTAGAACATTCCATGGACATTCCCCATCATAGTATTATCACCCTGGTGTAGATAATTATAGACCACTTGTTTACTAGAATGTGACCTAGGCAGCTTGGAATCAAACAGTATTTATATTATTAGATTATTAGAGGCAATATTACATAATTACAGAAAAATATATATTTGTTATCATTGTGTAAATAATTATTCAGTCTCTGCCCACACATAATTGCCTACAATTTCCAAACAGGCAATCTAGTACCCGGTGTCTTTTGCTTTCGGTTGGTACGTGCTAGAGTTGAAATCATGAGCATCGGTTTTTATTTTAGATGCATCAGTTGACTTCTGACAAAAGGGTCTTCAGGGCATCTTGCTCAATTTGTGAAATAGCTTCTCCAATAGAAGGAGTCTCACAAATATCACTGATTACACTCAAAGGGGTTATAGAATTTATAAAATCTATGAGATTAGAACTCCATATACACTTGAAATCTAGCTTTTATAGGACTTTTATACAAAGTACTTAGTAAGATGAGGAGATAATTGGGGTTGAGAAAAAAAGTAGCTGAGAAGAAATTGAAGTTTTATATAGTAGAATATAAACACCATAAAAATATCAGTTGGGTTGTAAACAAGGGAGAAGATCAATAGGAGGTAGCTAATTACAGGTACATGAGAAACATGCCCTATACAGTAATTTGGAGGAACAATGGGTATGGACAAGGCAGGTTAATTGGTGCCTAACAGACAATAAAGCAGTAGTCAAATTATTTCATCTTGACTTCTCTGCAAACATAGGAGGAAAATTGACCTTGTTGGGGTAATTCCTGAAATGTATTCTCCGGAAGAGAGTCTAACGGACACAATGTGTGCTTAATCATCTCCAGTATATTTACATATTTTCTGATTCTTTACCTTGTTTCATTAGCAAGTGTGTCTTTCAATAAATATTACATATATTAAATACAGGGTTTGTGCTTGTCCATTTCAGAAGATATTGTCTTAACTACTTCTACTACATGGAATGTCCTGCCATTTGCTTAGAGCCTTTTGTGCTAGTAATTAAAAGATTGTGTTCTTCAAATTATCTAGTCTTTTTTTTTTTGTCTTTCTTCTAAAAGCTTCACAACATGTCATAATCACTCATAGGTATTGCAAGGCGGACCATGTGCTTTCATGAGACCCATAGTTGGACATGTTGCCTAGAGGCTAAATGCTGAGTTCGAAAGTTCATTCTATCAGAAACCCAGTGTTTATCCAAGCACAGTGTCAGAACAAGTCTGAACTAATCACATTTCTTGCATATCTCCCTGTCGGGTCCAATGTTCAGACAAAGTCCTGCTCGTAAGGTGGCAAAGGTTGACTTGCTGCTATCCTTTCAACCAGACAAACCCACTTTTTAAAGCATTTTTATTTTTTGTAAAAACTTGAACAAACAAAATGCTGGAGACAATGAAAATGTCTTAGGACTGCGTTAGCCAAATTCTCATGGTTCCTCAATATAGTTCTAAACTTTGATGTCTGCGTTCTATGTGAATTATAAGAGAAAATGAACTCTATGGTCGCCTAATTGTCTCATAATCTTTCCTTGATCAACCATTCAGACCTCATATAACTTTATATGGTCTACCTACTCCACAATTTGTCTTATGTATAGCTACAGCTTTCCAGCATAAGGGACTCTCTGGCTGTATCTCCGACACATATAATCTTGTTTCACTTAATGTGGTAACCGTTGAAGACCCCTTTAGTAGGAACTCCAGGATGGTTGAAAAGGGGAATACTTTGTTCTACTGTCCATTCCTGCTGCTTTCTGAGTTATAAAAGATCAAAATTGTATTCCTAACACAGTTCTGCCCTCCTCTCTCCCTGTAATAATAAAGGGTTTTAAAAAAAACACGAAAAAAATAAAATCTTTTACACCTACCCTATTTCAGCACCATTTCCTCGGTGCTAAGTAGCACTCTTCACTCCTCTTCCGACATAGTTAACCCATTGGCATGTGTGATGTGCATTTGCAGAAAGTGCTGCCTGTGCATTAGGCGTTCCCCATTCCCTATAGGGATTTTCTGGGATTCCCAGCATCATTTGATGGAATCAAACTCTGTGAAACTTCAGGAAGTACCTCTAGTGGCTGTCTGGTAAACAGCAGTCTTAACCCTACAATATAAACATTTTCTGTAAACCTTCAATGTTTTACATTGCAGGGCTAAGTGGGACACACACACTGTGCCCAGACCACTTCAATGAGCTGAATTGGTCTGGGTGCCTATAATGTCCCTTTAAATCCTCCATTCTAACTATGGCTTTGCTTCTTCACCATGACACCCAACTCTTCCATCGCAGGCTGGTGTTGCATGAAGGACCATATACCCCACTCCGTTCTTATACCCCATATCCCAGCCCTCTTAACAAGTGGCTCCTTCTGCCATATACATTTATATCCAGATGAATGGATTAAGTTTCATCAGTAAGCACAATGTACCATATTGTTCACTGGCCTTTGATTGTCTAGGTTTTAATGGAAATATATATCATTATAGTCCTGTATAATAGCCTTTGGACTTCTGTGGCTAGATGAATTCAGGGAAACCAGTGATCCCATTGTACAGCGCTGGCGCTAGATAAATAATAAAATAAGCGTGATAAATGTAAGTGCAATCAGATAAGCAAGGATTTTAATACGTTTTCTGGGCAATAAAAGGAAATTTAGTAACAAAGCACGGCTTGCACAAACAGGTCAGGTTTGGGTCCTGGAGTGGAGAGGACAACCCAGGTTTTCAGAAATATATTTAGCATGTTGCTAACTTGCCCTTATTCACTACATCAGCACTGTGAAGCTTTGAAAAGGAAATTGGCAGTTTAGTAAAAAAAAAAACCTCGAGTTCGTTGTTTAAAATATCCATGAAAGAAATGTTTGGGATATTTTCTTCCAGTATTTAAGTGCTGACCCATTCTATTGCCATGTGATAGAACCAGTTTGTTGTATTTACCAGGCCCATGGAAGCAGAATGTTTAAAGTGCAGCTTCCCAATTTCTTTCAATTTTTTTATACAAAATAATAGAACACAAAATAACGCAATCTAAATATGAAATATCCGAGAGATTGCCCGTTTCATTGTGCGCTAGTTCTGATTGGTGATGACTTTCTTTATTATATATGACACGAGTCTGCAGTCTCAAGTATGTTTTATAAAATGTGCGATCATAAATCTGTTTCCAAGCTGTGCAGATAATGTTTACTGAGAATGATCATAGGATTGTCAGTGTGATTATTTGACCAATTTCAGAAACTTCACTTTTATGTGTTTGTTTTAGAGAAATTGTTTTTTGTTTTTTGTTTATGCTGTGAAGCCCTACATATTTCTTTCTTACCCGTTCTGCTTTGTCTTGTTTTTTACTAGAACATCGATTCACCAGATGTCACGCCAAATCGGAACCTATGCCTTACTCAGCTTCCCACCCTACCACCTCACTTGCTGCTGAGCGCTCCTTGTCCCCACTCACGGAACAAGAAGGGGAGACTTACCTAGAGAAATGTGGCAGCATCCGTCGACACACTGTGGCCAATGCTCACACAGACATTCAACTTCTAGCCATGGCCTCCATCATGCATCCAGCAAGGTCGGATGAGTCTGAAATTGGGGAACAATGTCTCCTACTGCAGCCTGGCTTCAACTCACGACAGTGTAACAGTGAACCAAACATTGCAGACGACCCCGGAGATATGCTGTCCGATTCCCTACAGGAGAACACAGAACAGGATTCCATGTCTTCTAGCTGACGGAACAACTAGGGAGACTGACAGGACACAACCTTGAGCTTGTACTTGTAGGCAGGATCACAGATGCCCTCAAAATACACTTTGGCACATGTAATACCTCTGTATTATATCACATCCTCCAAAGTAAACTCAATGAGGATGATGGCAAAGGTTGGCTAGTGAGAGGACATATGCAGATTTGGCTATGACTCATCGTTACCCTTACCCCGTGCTTCCCAAAAAAAAAAAAAAAAAAAGTAACGAACTGAAATGAGTTATGAGAGGTATGGACCCTCCTTGAAGGTTCTGGATTTGAGTCCTCATACTCTCTACAACAGTGACAGAACATGCATTGTAGTTACGTGATGAAATAAGGACTCCCTTTATGAAAAAAACACAGTTCTTATGTGTTCTTTTTACACTAAAAACTTTGATGGACTTTTCAGTTTCATTCACAGTGGGCAAGATGTCTTGCAAGAATGTTTGTTCATCTCAGAGAATATTTAGACATGCAAGTCTATGGGAGAAAACATAAGTGGGTTCTTTGTGACTTTGGACACCTATTTACCATGCTAAATAGGTGCCTCCTATGGTTTTTGTAACTTGACGCAACTCACCAGCAATTCGAATTTAGCTAGATTTTTTTTTTAATGTTGAGCTTCATAGCGGAGTCAAAATATTTTATTACATTTTGAGACTAGTGGTTTTAAAAGTAATAATTGGTTGGTCTGCATTGCAAAAAAAAAAATAGGAATACTGTTAAAATGTGGTACAGTTAAACGAATATTAAAAAAAAAAAAGGACAATGCATGCTTCACTAGGAATTGTTTATGAATTGCTATAATAATTCCAGACATGAAGATTATTTGTACAGAAATCTTGAAAATTACTGTTTTACAGCAGATAAGTGCTGTAGGACCTGCTGTTGTTAAAAGTGATTTGGGGTGAAAAGGAACATTAAGCCATATTGAATGAATGAATGAATAAAGAATGTATTTATTTTAAGAATGCTGACAGTGAATGTGATTGATTTTTTTTTTTTTTTTTAAATAAAAGTACTTTTTCTAAGAAACAGTCCACTCAATACAAGAGTTCTTTACAAAAGCTGATTTGATTAGGATATCCCTTATTAAAGGGATACTATAGTGAGAGGAATACAAAGCTGTTATACTGGCACTATAGCTCCCTCTGTCACCCCCTCCCTCGTGTCCCCCTCCCCATTGAATAAAGAGTCAAAAACCGTTCATTTACTTACCTGATCCCTCAAAAGACAACCCGCAATGAGTGGCGCTAATGCGTATGCTCAGCATATGCCGCGTGCGCATTAGACCTCTCCATAGCAAATCATTGAATCAGTGCTTTCCTATGGGGAAATAGCTGACACTGGATGTCCTTATGCAGAGCATTTGGATCCAGGAAGTGCCTCCAGTGGCTATCTGATAGACAGCCACTGGAGGCAGACTTAGTGCTCTAATGTAAACATTGCAGTTTCTCTTCAATAGGGACTCTGTACCCAGACCACGTCAATAAGCTAAAGTGGTCTGGGTGCCTATAATGTCCCTTTAAATAAGTTTGTTGTACAGACTAAGCAAAGGTTGTAGAAAACTCACCATTAAACACTCACTGAAAGTTGATCTATAATATTTCTGTTTCTAGTATAGTAAAATTATTTTTGGAATTGTCTGGGTTTTCATTCCTACTTCTTGAAAATGTGTGTCCTGTTTGTAAAGTTGTTTCTAACGTAAAGTATCGGCTGATTTGTTCTGTGTAAATATTGCCTAGTCTGAACACATTTTAAGACATAAAGTGACACTTTTAGAAGAAGAAAAAAAACCTTACAGACTGCATATTTCATGGAAATTCTAACGTAATCAAATTATTAAAATGCAAATAGGGACTTCTTGGGTTTATGTAGAAGACGATATTTGTCAAAATGTGGCCAAAGGCCACCCTCCTTCTGCCACTAGCTGCCAGCTTCGTTTGATTGGTGCAGTAATACTCCGGGCATCTCAATGCACATGCGCGAGGAAGTCTTAAAATATTCCCATTTTTCTCAGTGTCATAGTTAGAATAAAAGAGGTCGTGGCATGCAATAGAACATTTTTGTTTCAGTATCCTGCACGTTCACCAGTAGACACCATGCACCGGTGGCAGAGCATCCATCTGGAAGCGTATTTGCCAGGGGCTGAAGATGGAACACAATTGGATAATTGCAGCAAGAAGGACCCAGTGCTTCAGGTACATTTATCGCTTTCCACTTTCCTCCTGAGAACTACTACACTGACTAACCATTGCAAAAAGACAGAGCTTATAACAATGATTGACAGGGAGCTAAGAAGAAGGTTCGAGATTATCGGATATGAATTTCTACATCTAACTTTAAATTCTTTTTTTATAATTTGTTTTAAAATACATACTTTTTATATATTGGCAAAAAGTAAACAGAATATATAAAATGTTGTGAAGAGACAGATCTCCTTTAAGTGCTACTCGGTTACTCTCACGTGTGCTTTATTGTTTAAATAATCTTACTGGTTTAAAAGGCTTGGAGCCGGTCGTAGTGTTTTTATAAACTTCAGATAGTGCTTTTATGTTGTTCAGGGTTGGTTCGGAGCCTATCCTTGGATTTGCAGATTCAGCCCTGTTTGATATAGCTAGACGTTAATTGCCTTTTTTTTTTTTTTGTCAATGTAATTGTGTCTGGAAAAATCCAAAGAATTATTCTACAGATCACCGCACAATCCTTGTTTATATATATATATATATATATATATATATATATATATATATATATATATAAATAAAAAAACAAGCGTTTCTTTTGATCTATAAAAGAAAAAGCGCACCCTTAATTTATGCCGTTTCTTTAATACCAACTCATACACTCACTTTTATGAGAGCATTCACATGTCTCTGTTCAAACAACCTGTTCCAGATAATAGTAATTGGAATTCTGGGAAGTGCAATGCAAATGAGGACACAATGTATCGGCTCATCTGTTCTATTTATATAAAATGCACCAATGCATTCAGTTTTTTCAGCTGGTCTTAGATCGTCAAACGGTAGACTTTTAATACTGTCTGTATGTAGCTGTACGAAACCTTCCGATGGTGTTTTAAAGGGATGCTCCAAGAACACATTTTGTAATAGTGAATAAATAAATAAATACATATATATATATTTTTTTCTTTTTCAAGGTAAGTACACTATGCATTTTAAATAAATGCATTTTTGGAAACAGACTCTGCTAGTTCATGAGTTAAAGGGACACTCTAGGCACCCAGACCACTTCTGCCCATTGGAGTGGTTTGGGTGCCAACTCCCACTACACTTAACCCTGCAAGGTAATTATTGCAGTTTTTTTTATAAACTGCAATAATTACCTTGCAGGGTTAACTCCACCTCTAGTGGCTGTCGATTAGACATCCACTAGAGGGCACTTCCTGATTCATAGCAAAGATTTTCTTTGCTAGAGCGTCGCTGGACGTCCTCACGCTGTGTGAGGACCTCCAGCGTCGCTCAGTTCCCCATAGGAAAGCATTGAAAATCTTTTTCAATGCTTTCCTATGGGTAGACCTAATCCGCGTGCGCGGCATTGCCGCACATACGCATTAGGTTTCCTCAGCGGCGGGCGGGTTCAGTCTCGCCACCGGCTGACGTGATTACTGGGAGGAGAGACGCCGACCAGAAACTACCGCCAAGGGACAACGGCGTGATCTCAGGTAAGTGACCTGAAGGGGTTTTCACCCCTTCAACTACCTGGGATGGGAGGTGGGAGGGAGAGGGTACCTGCCGTGCCAGGAAAACGGATGCACTGGAGTTTTCCTTTAAATAGAATTAATTCTTTGACTTCTATGAACCATTCAGTTTTATTATTTTCTTGATACAGTTATAATTTCAGACACTATATTTATGATATGAAAAGTAGAGAAAGAAATGCTTTGAACTTCCTGCATAAGCCAGTAGTCATAGTTCAGCTTACATATGGCTCCATTTTAGCAATGAACGCATTCTTGGCACGGGATTTTATTTTCAAAAACACTATGGTGTGGAGATTTGCATGCCATTCATCCATGCTGTGAGCATGTGCCTTGCAAACCCTTAAAATGTGAGCTCATTTGATCAGGGACCTCACCACCTTCTGTTCCTTGACGTCCTACTTGCCTTGTTTGTTAGTACACTTATTGAATAGCCTTGCAGAATATGTAGGCCTTTATTTGTGCCGTGACCTGACATAGGTCACAAGATAGTTAACCTGGGTTTCAAGAATACCAAATTAATTTGGGACGTGTGTTCGAATGTCCCTTTTAAAAAAAATCACCTGGAAATCAGCAGCATTTAAACATGTTTGAAGTCTATCCTGGCGCTCACATGACGGGTTTCTTTATGTACCCAATTTTATCAAATTTATGCACCCAACCGGACGTGAAAAGTGCCAAAAACCTTTTTAGAAGGCACAGCTTAATGATTTTGTTTTATTTAAAAGATATTAATTTCTAAAACTTTTTTTTTTTTTACTCTCACCTTTTAATAGTATTGGGAGTTTTGCCAAACTAACTCATTGGGCATTAAATAAACACTGCACATTGTTTTCGTACATGTATTTTGGGTCCAACAACTGCTATTGCAAAACAAACGAAGCCTTGTTTCTGCTGACTAGTATTTGGCAGGGAAAGGAACGGTTTTGACAAGATTGAAATTGACAGCCACACAGAATGCCAGGCTGGCACAAGGGATGGATTACCCTAGGGGGTGCAGAGACATGCAGAACAACTCTTGTCATTGCAGGGCTCGGCTTGCTACTTAGTTCCCACTGCAATCTGGAGAAGTTTTAATTGAAACATTTGTTGGGTGTTTTTTTGTTTATGTTTTCAGCTAACTGTTGTGTCATTGCAAATATTTATCAGTTTACAAAGATTAGCAGTTCGTTTTTATTCTGTGAAACCAAATTGCTGTATGCAGATTATTCTGTGTGTTTTAAGGGAACACTGATAACAAATTATATCTATTTATGTTAAGACCAATAATGTTTCGGGGATGTATTCACTAAACAGCAAATTATGAGAAAAAAAATGAACTTCAAAATTCAGGCTAAGATAGTTGAGTTGTGACTATTTGCGGATTTGGAGTTTTCAAATCGTTAAATTCAATGTTTGGTAAATAAACTTTAAACGCTTACAGAGTTATGCACTGATATGTTATTTAAAGTGAATTCAAACTGAATTTCAAAATTTTAGGCCAGGAAATTAAAACTGGAAACATTCTGCAGTTCGGCTAATTTGATCTAAAAATAAAAAAATAATTTGGAATTTCAGACACACACACAAGGTAATTCCCTTAACATTTAATTATCTGGATAAAAATGGACGAATTCTGACTTAAATTGCAATTCTCATTTACTAAACCCAAATTCGGGAAGAATTCAGGTAACTAACGAGCATCTGCAACAATGGCCAAGAAATATCTGATGTCTGAATTAAATCAGTCCTTTGTGCATCTGTACCTTATAGAATTAGAATATCTATCCCATTTTATTTTTTTATTCAATAGCCCCCACCTGCTGGCCATGGATGGGGATGAGGGGTGGATGGTGAGCAGTTCATCCCCATTACTTAAAGTCCCCCACTAGATACCCACAGGTAGGTGCAATGGGAGGAATATGTCCCCACTGCTATTCTACAGGTCCCATTCCCATGGGATGGGTTCTTTCTAGCAACTGTCCAGTCACTAGCTTGTGTGTTTAGTAGTCCAACTGGACACATAGCAGTTGGGGATAAAACAAAGGTTACAACCTCCCTTATAGTAATGGGGGGGGGGGGTCATATTGATTTTGAAGAAAGTCTAATGGAGGATTGCAGAGGCTTCAGACAAGAGATCTGCAGATTTTGTGAGATGTTTTTACATATACCTCAAATTAAAAATAATGCATAAATAAATGGATGCATGTTTTTATTGAGGGCATGGATACTAAACCGTGATTTGTATTCTCTAATTGCAGTATAATATGCATTAACACATTCTGCAAACACTGTTGGGATTTAATCAATAAACTGAGAATTGTAGGGAAGTGACTGGGGAATGGCAAATCAGCGCATTATATCCGGAGGTCAGTTCTGTTCTATTAATTAAATTGTGTGTTGTTTGTCCGTGGATCTGATGACTACAGTATACATGTCTTTCTCACTGCAATAGCAGAATAAATTACCTAGATTTGTTATATAAAGTGACACTTTCATAATAGCCTCCCATGTTTAATATTTCCCCCCTTCTTCTAACCATTGATATAGGGATATGATCTCTAAACAGAGCTATTCTTAAAGAAACACTATTCCTAACTGCATTTATAACGCGGTAGGGTCCCTCTGCCCTAAACACTTCTTTAACCCCTTAAGGACCAAACTTCTGGAATAAAAGGGAATCATGACATGTCACACATGTCATGTGTCCTTAAGAGGTTAAAGCACCATG